CTACAGTGCTTGGCACGAGAGGGCTACTCGGGCGTCGGGCATGTCAACGTGGACACTCCAGCTTCAAGCCTCACCTCCTTCACCGTTGCACAAATGGCGCTGCCTTTTCTTTCCTTTTGCTTTGCAGGCTTTCCCGACCTTTGGGGCAACACCGGGACATGCCCCGGGGCATGTAAACACTTACACACACACACACACATGCATGGCACGGACTCTACTTCAGCAGTGCAAACTGGCTCAGGCCGGGAAGGAAGGTTTCCTCCTTCTGTGTTATGGCCAAGCGGCCCTTGGTGAACTTGATCTACACACGGCTCAGCAGGCGTGTGACAAGGGATTGACGATATTGAAGCGTCGTCGGCGAGATTCGCACGGTGAAGCAGCACATAAAAATACAGTGGCAAGACACTGTTGAAGAAGCCCGCCTCGCTTACCGTCGAGGTGTTGTTCGCACTGGCAACCGATGGGCGTTTCACTCCGGCCATGCACAAATTAAGGGCTTCGTCGTGCCCTTGCCTTTGTAAAAGAGCACCGTCCAAGACCGACGCACAAACATTGGACGTGCGCTGCCATGTTGTGAAGGCAAGGCTGCGATACACAAGTCTTTTTGCCATCGAGGTTGATATGCTCGGCTCTGTTGCTGCTATGGTGTCAGCGAGCGTGTCACACGCATCCATTTCCACAACCAGGGGCTTTACTTGCCCAGGTGGATGCAGCTCTGCGGCGACCTTGATCCTGTCCGGGGTGTTGGCTGCATTCGGCTGCCTCTTGCACAAGCATGGTAGCACATCGAAGGCTCCTGGATGATCGGCTCTGGCTTCTGTGATGATCCTTGCAGGCCCTGTCCCAATGGGACTCGGACCGCCGCGTTGTGGTTCTGGGCTCTTCAGTTGTTTTGCTTCTCGCGCGCCGCTGTCCCAAACCGCGGAACGGTCGGCTGCGCTCACTGCGGGCCTTGTGGCACCTATGGGATCTGCTGGCTGATTCGCTGCATGCTTACGTCGGCGCAAGCGGCGCTGCAACTCCAACGTTCAGCACAGCTCCCTGCGTTTGCTAGTTGATGATCCCGATGAAGCTCGCTGTGAGCACATGTCACCCTACTGCAATGATCCCGATGGGTGAAAAATTTCAGATTGGCAGCGTCGGCGTTATCATCTGCTAGCGCGGGCTTGGGCTTTCGCCCACTCTGATCTGATCTGGCCCCATGTCGGGATTTCCAGAAAGACACACACTTTGGCACGGCACGGATGACTGCGACGAGCGACCGAAAGGACGAAACGACGACAGATTGCGCAACCATACAGAATCACGTTTGGGGTATTTTGGGCTGGCCTCTGCGCAGGTACACCAAGCTGATCAGGCTTGGCTTCCCCCTCTGATGCACAGCAGCTTCGTTGGGTACGGTATCATCAGAGAGCCGTACCCCCCTCCACTAAAAAAATAGTTCACTAGCAGCGGTCGCCATGTACAGGCGTGCACACACACGCGCGCGCGCGCGCGTACTCAGACTGAGAAGCAAGCACGCAAGCCTGCAATCAAGCGAGCAAGCAATCAAGCAAGCAAGGAAGCAAGCGAGTAAGTCCACACACACACACATCTGCATACATATATATATATATATATACACATATGTATATATACTTACATACATACATCCATACATCCACAGGTCCATACATCTATATGTGTGTGTGTGTATTTCTTTACATATATCATATTATATTCTATCTATGTATTATATATATATATATACACACCTATCCGTGTTCACTCGTCTCGCATCTCGTTTGGCGACAGCTGCTCCGCCTCTCGCAGAGACTTTTTCAGGGTCTCGACATTGATTTTGTCATTCAGGTTGTTGACGTACCTTTCAATCAACCACTGGGGTTTCAAGCTCCGAATGCTTGGCTTTGGTGTCGGGAACATCCTTTCAATCTGCACAGCCGCAGCTATCAACATCCAGTTAGATGCGAAGTGCTGAACCGGTAGCAATGGTTTTAACTCAAACACCGCAGCCGCATGCACAGACAGTAAGAGTAAGAGCTGGACAGCGTCTGATTCGGAGCTCCGGCCTGACAGCCCGCACTCGCTTTTGCCGGTCGGCTGAGCACTGTAGGGCCCCATGCGCCCCTTCATCAGGTAGTGAGTGCAAAAGGCTAAGAGAAGCACGTGACACGGACGAAAGCAAGAACCCAGAACCTAGAAAAGTCCCGAAGTGCTTGGGGGCGCGGCCATGTCTGCTCCAGGCTGGCGTCCGCCCCGGGCACCCGCTATCAAGTTGACTGAGCCCAGATCGGAAGAGGCGAATCCCAGTGAAGCCGGACAAGCATCGAGCTACCGAAGGACGCGCGTGAGACTCCAGCTTTCAGTGGCTCAGATGTCTGAGCTCTGCATGTCCGTGAAGTTTCCTTTGACTTGCTTCGGTCTGCGGACATATTCGAGTGAAACACCTGTGCACGGAAGTTCCCTGTTGCGTACCCATCAGAAGCGTCAGTGGAGCTTTACTGACCGACTGCGTGCGTAGATAACGAATAAGATCAAGCCTTGTGCAATGAACGAAAAACACAGGACCTGCGGCAAAGGGATGCGGCTCCGTTTGGAGCCAGGAGGCACTTGAAAACCTCAGATCTTCCAGGACTTCTCTGCGCCTAAGTTGCCGAGCGCACGTATTCCCAGTCCGGATGGTTTGTTTTGGTGCCACGACAAGCCAGATTGCGACGAAGTAAAGGAAGAAAGACTTACCGGCACAAACTTTCTGCAGGACTCGGTTCTTTAGGCTCGGGTTCGTACTCGGAGCTACTTCAACAAGCTGGCGTGGCCATGGTTGTGCATGCCTACCTGGCACATGCAAGGTTTCGAGGCTTATGGCTTGACCTTGCTGGCGCTAGTTCACCCAGTATGAGTACAACAGCCGTGTAGACTGGGAACAGTAGCTTGCATAGACGACCATTGTTACCAGGAAGCCCATGCAAAAATAAAACAACAGCAAGCAGCAGCAACAAGGGCAAGAACCTATGTACCGTGGCCTCGAACAAAAGTCGCGACTGGCGCTCATGATCCCCGGTCCAACAAATCATCCAAGACACCTTTCTGAAAGCGGGGTGCCTCTCACCATCCATGCTCGTGCATGCCTGGCTACTTCAGGGAAGGACAGATCGGATACCTCTTGCACAAACCTCCAAACGCTGCCAAACGCCTCCGGCCGGCCATCCTGGAATCCGCTTGTGCGTGATGGCTGTTCCGAATCTGGGCGAGCTGATTCTGAAACATGTGTGTGGCTTCTCCCTGCAAGGACATGGAGTTCAGGCGTTTCGTGAAGCGCGGAATTGGCTGTTGACCTACGGTCTTTTTATTGTCACGGAGTCAGGTTTGGAACGGAAATGTGCTACCATCCGTGACGTGTAAACGGCGGTTCACCTCCTGCATGGGCTCACGCATCGTTCATGAGATGCTCATATGATGGATGACCTTCGTTGTAATGCTTGACTTCAGATGCCACCTGTGAATTTGAAAAGGAGAGGGGCTAACACTACCAGGGAAGCCAATCAGGTCCAGGATTCATGCATCTGTGCAAGCCCCTGCTGAAATCGGTGCACCGAACAGGCTGACACAAGATCACCTCCCTGCAAGGCCTCAGAGATCTTGCCACACTTGCAGCGTGCTGGGCCAAGGCCTGGCTAGATCAGACGGGAAGCACGGATTTGCGGCGTTCGCTTCTTGGCCCCGGCCGAAGCGATCAGAGTTTCCCACGAGAAATCCCTGTTTCCCCACCTCTTAGTTCAGTGGGCCCACTGACCCCTCACCCCCCCCTTAAAATGGGTCGGGTTGGCAACCCCTGCGTCCAGAGATTCTGCCGGCGGAGTGGGCTTGTTGGGAGCACCCAAATTTGGGCGTTCTGTGCGAACACCCCTCACCCCCCCCCCCACCCCCCCGTCCCCCGCCCCCCTGCCAAAGCCTGGGAATTCTGGGGCTGTGTCTTGTACTTTGTTGCGAAGCTTGATTCCCCTTCCAACATATGGGAGGTTGTATACCAGACCAGTGAGAAGTGTGATACGATTATTCTAGTAGCGTCTATGGGATAATGCAGAGAATGTGCCACCTTTTAAATTTCACGTGGGATCATTGCTCGGAGCTTCAGCATGAAAACAAATACTGACATTAAAGACATTCTGAAGCAAATGCGCTCTTTCACTACAGACCTCACCCCCGTTGCTTTCCGAAACAATGCTCCTGCTTCAAGTACAGCCGGGCCGAGGCGGACGAAGCGTTTAGAAATAGGGGGCGAACATGACAAACTCCAAATGTTGTCTGTACACAAGTGACGAACGGCAAACTCCTGGCAGGTACATGACCAGAATGCTCGTCGACAAATGCCAAACAGACAACAAGGCCTTGTCTCGCGCTTCTCTCTGCTCGTGCGATGTCTCCACTTCTTCGCACCTGGGAGACTCGAAATCATGCGGGAAGTCTCCGGCCCAGCACAAAACAGAGGCTCTGTGGGGTTCGGCTTCCCGACAGGTGGTAGTTCAGGAAGTTTAGGGAGTCCAGAGATCTTCCAGCATCTTCTGCGATCAGAAGGTGTTCGGGGCGGCGGGGCCACGAAACGTGCCACAGTGCTCCGAGAATGCCGCACGAACTCGGTTAAATTATGATCAAACATGTCAAAGAACGGAATCCCCTGCGTCCCCACATGTCTCATGGGCTTAGCCTAGCCTCGCCTTCATCGAGACTGCGGACACGACACCACACTGATTGCAATGAGCTTGCATCCAGGATGCCAAGCTTCGCGGGCCTGCACCCTTGCAAGGTAGCCAGCACGCAGCTCATCGGAGAAAGTGTCATAGACGACCTCTGCAGGCCCATGCTCGTGCTCGATGCATCCCGGAGCTTGCGCGAACTCTTACGGGGAACAGCGTGGAATGTGTCCTGCGACGCAGGGTGTCAGCGAAATATAGAGAAATACAACGCTGCCACAGAGTCAGAGTTAGTTACAACCTCAGCCTGAAACTACAAGATACTACAAGGTGCACTGTGCATGTGCGCCCCTACAGTTTTATCCGCCGAGGCCACAAACCCAGGCGTCTTGGGGGTTACCTCAAGTACCCTCCAGCTAATCCACTCTTTGCAGCAGAAATGGTTGGACCCACCCGTTTTTTGCGTCCATTTTCCACACCCCCGCCCGGCTTCGCCTGATTTTACCTCACTTGTCGGCCTTTGCCTCCCAGACCCCCTCATTTTTTCTGTTTTTTTGGCGTTTTGGGTGGCCTCCCTTTCACCCCTACCCCAACCCCCTACCCGCCCTATCCCCGCCCTGACGCCCCCCTACCCCCCCTCCTCTACCCGCACACCCCCCTCCTCTGCCTTCTGCTTGCTCCCCCCTCCGCTTCCCTCCCTTCCCATGACAACGGCAGCGCCTGCAGCTATCTCACCGCTGATCCTACACCCAGTCTACGCACTTGATCACACGGACCTCACGAAGCTTTCAAGCGGCTTGCTGCTACCGGACGTGCTTGCACTACTCTGGAGGATCTTAGCAAGCTTGAGGACGTCTATTCTTTTGTTCCTCCCACGAACTCTAGACTTCTGCTGCAGACACGCACCAACGCTATCCAGGCGTCTACCGTGCCCTGTGGCCCTCAGCAGCCGAGGCGGGCGGCGTAGCGTTAAAATTATGACTTGGAGAGCACGAAACACTGGAAAACGCGATAGATAATGGATGTAGGCTTCAAGAGGGGCCTTGGGACAACAGCATTAGCTTAGGCTCGGAAGTATAAAATTACTCTTGGCTTGACTCTGTGTGCTTCATTTGAGCTTCACTTTTGCGGTGCGCTGGAGCACGAGTCCCCGTTGGTCAAAATCTGACTGCTTGGAAGCAGTCTTTTCTTCAGCTGTTGTCAGGATCTTCGAGGTTTGGGCTTGCACTTGTCTAAAGGTTCAGGCAAAATTGTTCATGGACTATGGATTATAGGGCTGAAAATTTGGGATTGTTTCGGGATTGATGTTTGAAGTTTCGGCCTTTCACCACAAAAGCTGCTGTAAGGTGTGAGAACTGGAGTTAGCACGTTTATTTTGGGGAAACATCTTCGCAAACAGTAACATCATCATGACTCCAATCCTGAACGTCATCATCCCCCCCTTCCGACCCCACCCCACCCTCCCCCCGTGGCAAGGAGGACTATCAGCATGACCGTGCCACGCAGCAAACAGCACCATCATCACATGCCCAACATGGTAAACATGCTCAAAAGATTCAGCAAAACCGGACGTCATTAGCCCCCCCCCCACCCTTTCCGAAAGGGCCAGAAGATCGCAGAAAATTCGAAGACCTTGAAATGCGAGACCCGCGCAAATAAATACCGAATCGAAACGACCAGAAGCTGAGGATAACACAGAGGGCAAATACGCGCCACGGTCAAACTACAAACCCCCATGAACTGCACACGTCGGCCTCACGTTGTGTACGGCAGGTCAACAACCCCATGACTCACTGACTTCTGAAAGGAAATCGACCTTGTCACATTATCACACGCCGTTGTTCACACACAGCCCCACATCGGCCTCCTTGGCTGCCATCGCTTCGTAAGCTGCGGCCAGACCTTTGTTTTTTCATCTGTGCAAAACTGCTGGTATGATCAGCATTCAGCGGTCGCGATGATTCAAGGGTCGAAGAGGTACTTCAGGCATCTAATTTCAGGTGCACAGCAGCGCACTTGTGTCTGCGCTAGTAGCTTGCCTTGACATTCAGAATTGAGTTCTGTCTTCTAAGTCCCAGGAGGCTGCACCGACCATGAATGGCATACTTTCTGCTAGAGGAGCGAGCGGTAAGCTCAGGCCGGGATGCTTTCTCTTCCACCGACCTCCATCGCCCGAAGCGCATCCTTCTCCATCCTTGAATCTTAAGTCCACTTGCGTCATATCCCTAAGGGTCTGTTGACCTCAACACTGGCCGGATGTGACGTTCGTGACTCATTCATGACTGTTCGTGACTGCATGACGCTTATCCAGGGAGCCTGGACAGAACCCTGAATCAAGTCTATTCCGACGAGCATCTGATGCTCCTCATCTTCGGAGTCCTCTGCTTCGTCCTCCATCCTTGGGCTTAGTAACTGCCACCGTGTTGTCCTGCTAGGCATGTTGGGATTCTGGTGTATTTCCATCCTGCTTGGGTGACTGGTCCGGATCAACGTGGCATGGCAGTGGTGCACCAGCAGCCTCCCTCAACCTCCACATTGGCGAGCAAGACCCGGTTCAACTCTGGATTCTAGCTTCGTTGAAGAGGCATATCCAAGCATACCAGTGACGCAAGGCCGAATGTTTTTGCCTGAAAAACTGTGTAGCCAGGGAGCATGTCGGCCTTGAGGCTGTTCGGCCCCTGTCACAATAGTATTCTGCATGTTTTTCATGCTACTTGCCGCGAGGGGCAAAGCACCTCGTCCTTGCCGGGACCGCCCTTTGCTTTCGCCACGAAGCCACCCATGGCGGCCAGCGGTGTGAGACTGGTGTGAGCTGACTGGGCTATGAGCTGAGCTCTTAATGATGCCGGCATTGGCTGGACCTTGACGAGTAGGTCTTATGACCAGCTTGTCTGAATCTGTACATCTATCTCTCCAGAGCAAGCAGCAGCAAAGAGCTTCTCGTGACGCTTAAACAGATAGGCTCAGATAGGACATCAAAAGAGACGATCTGCCACAAAGGGCTCGACTTTTTTCCGCTGCAGAGAGCTGCACTGGCTGGGCGGCCCTGCCACGGAGAATCGGCAATCGGTACGCTTCCTCTCACACCTGGACGCACAGCTTCGCACACGCACAAGCAAACACACGAACGTCTGAGCGCGCGTGGGCAAGCTCGGACCATCGCGAAGTATCTGCTGCTGCCGAGTCACGCGATGATGCAGCGTCAGGTTGAAGGCCTGACATGTCTTTCATTGGCAGAGCGGACCACCAAGCGGGTAGATGATCAGAAATATCGCAAACTTGCGGGCTAGAGAATCCAAGCATGCACACACAAGAACCCGTGATGGCCTGTCCCATCTGGACTCGTTGGTCACTCGGTTCCAGAAGTATGAAATGCCATACTCCTCACTCTGGTGCTCCTGCCATGCAGGCAAGAAAACACCGGGAGTTCTGGATTGGACCATTGGCGCGGCATCGAACGCTTCAGAAGACTTCTGAAATCTGACACCCTCACGAGCCTCCCAATCCTCTGGCAACACGGACCTGCCAACGCGTGCAGCCCTCGTTGTGCTCCAAAAAAAGGCTCCCCGAAGCTAGATCATGCAGTGAAGCTGCGAGTTGGCTGGTGCGTCTTGCTCTTTTCGAGCTGCAGGCGTCCGCGACCTTGGAGGCCAAGGTCCCACTCAGGTGGCGCTGCTGTGCAGAGCAGAATTCTTCTGGGCAAGTCGAGGGTTGTCCTGAGTTGTGCACCGAGCGCTTGCGAGGCCAACACTGCCGCGTGGCCTGTTACACAGTCGCTGAAACCAATATGCTGCAGTTCCTCAACAAGAGCTGATCGTGGCAAAATTGGCTTCAGAATGGTTTCTAAGTTGTTGAAATTGCCTGCGACGGCACGGCACCCAAAAAGCCGAAGCCCGCGGCCCACACCTTTTGCTTGCCGGTGTCTCTTGGCTTCCAGGTGGCCGATACCTTGGAGGGGCATTGGACAAGGCCCGGGTTTGCCCTCAGCTTTGAGTCGATTTCAGCCCGGACACTTCGCATCTAGGCCGATGCTGCCGCGCGGCCTGCCATGACAGCCCGGTGCAGCTCTACTGGAGCCCTTTTGCTGACCCTGTAGCTAGACAGAGATGCTGCATCTTTGCTCAACACTGCCCGAATCGAATCGCATTACACTGCAGGCGCTAGCACCGCAACCGCATAGTGGTCGAGCCTCACCGTTGTGGCTCCCTTGGATCCGGCCCTGTCATGGGTGTATGTCCATGAGGGTGCAGGCCAGCTAAGATGCACAAGAAGTGCTGCGAGTTGTGCGCCCACTCCAAGAGCTGCTGGTCAGCGTGTTCTCGTCAGCGTGTGCGCGCGTGTGCTTGCAAATGTTGCGGTCGTGGCAGCACCAGGAACCTGTGTGGCCTCCTACTGTTGGCGTGTTGAGAATCCGCCAGGCAACTCCACTTCGGATGGCGTCTTGCACCGACTTGGATGTTCTGGCTTCGGAGGAGCATGACGGAGGATGACGGTCATACTTAAGTTCGTAGTGACCGAGAAAGGTCGGGGCAACAGCCCGCCGAATACCGAGACTTATGAATGATTTTCATGGGAGCGGCACCCACAGCCGGCGATCTCGGAGCCCGGCGGTGGCGCAGCGGTGCTTTGCTCCAGTTGGGGCTTCGGCCGCGCTTTGGCCACGCTTGGCCGTGGCCTGAACTTTTCGACTCTCAGGTGTGTTCGCCCTACTGCTGGCTTGCCTATGCAAGATGAGAGGCTTGTGTCAGGACCTGCAGGCTGCTGCAGGCTTTTGCGGGTCTAGTCCGATGCACCGATAGGAAAGCAATCGGTGCCAGTTTGCTGGAACTGTTTACCATAGGTGTAACCAACGCCCCAACAAAATGTCACATGGCTCTGTCATGCCGTCAGGGTTCTACGTATGCACTGTAATATACTGTAATCTGCCGCTGAGTTGCCCGTTCGACGGTTCCACCTGACGCACAGAAAAGAGTCAAGCGTAGCAGAACTGCCATGCAGTAGAGATCGGCGTCCCAGCTGTGTGCCAATCACTCTCAAGAGCCACCTACTGGCAAGAGAGGCAACTTCACGAGACGAGCAGGGGCCGGAGCCTTGGTGACGGAGCTCACAGCCCTGACAGGGAATTCAGGCAGATGAGCAGGTTGAGATGCTGTCAAGTCTGGTAGCGCGCTTGAAGCATCTCATTGCGGGTCTCCCGTCACAAAGAGTGCTGTGAGGTTTCTTGCCTCATCCCAGCCAGTGTCCTCGTCACACCGAGAGCTGGTGCCTCGGTGTGAAATGTGTATCTGAACTCGCAAGGCACACAAACAGCTGCAGAAGGAATGGAACAGCCCTGCCGTTTGCTAACATACGGAATGAAAGCTGCTTGTCGCAATCTGCTGCAGCCTCCAACTTGCTGATTACATCCACAATTTCCGGTGAAAGCAGGTTCTCGGGTGAATGCGACATTGCGGAGAATGCAAAACATGACCATTTGCAAGCGACGATGCCGCCGTGAAGAAAGACAACAAGACCGTATTTTCGCTGTACTGATAATGGCCTGGTCTGGGCGGGATCCGTTTCTCATCGCAGGACTATTCTCCGGACTACTGAATACCTTTGGATGTGAGAAACCGCAAGCACCAAAGGGCATAGCCCTCACAAATGCTTTACCTTTGGGGCACGTCGAGTGTCGACCCGCGCCAACAATGGAACTTCGGAGTTTTCGATCGACATGTCTTTACATCCCATCCCGACGGCGGAACTTCGACTCCGCATGGATGCCGCAATTTATGGACTCTATGAAGACTACGACTACGCGGTGCGTCAGACCCACAGGCCCACTAAACCCCCGACCTCGACAACGTTTTGTACAAATAACATCCTGACTGAAAGAGTACGGCTCAAGTGCCAAATAATAAAGCAACCCCTACAGATGCCGGACCTCGAAAATTAAATGTAATATGACAAGTCCGACACCCGACGAGAACTCCAAAAGGCTGCGACGGACCGACCTTCTGTTTGGATGGTAGGAAAGCGCATCGCGCAGGGTCCGTCGCCTTCGCCAGAACTAGGCTGGCCGGCGCCGGGGACTGGGTTTGTGGGGCCTTGCACGGCACCCTGTGGGTGGACCTGACCGACGCCGGCCGTGCCCCCTCGATCAATGTATCCTGCCATGTTTTCGACCAGAACCGCCAGCTTTGATAGCACGTCCCGGCGTAGACGCAGCACACCACGGCGCCACCGAGACACACAGCTCCATGACGCTCTCGATGGCCGGCTGCGAGGTCGTCGGGCGACAATGCAATGTTGAAGCTGCTGGGCCATCCGCCAGTGCAGCTCGGGGTCGTCCGCGGACAGTGGCCGCTTCGGCGGTTTATGGGGTACCGGGCCTGCACCCAAATGCTCCACCATCCATTGCATCGTCGACCACGTGGCTCCGGGCACCGTGTCGCCGAGGCCGGCGAGGCCGCGGTCATCACCATCAGGCTCGCCAGCAACCATTGGCCAGCATTTTCTCCCGGGTCATGTCGTCGACGACGAAGCTCGCCTGCGTGTAATTCGGGGGCATCTTGGCACGGTGGCGCCGCCATGCGCCGCCGTGAGTATATGATGGCGAACCTGTCCCGGGGTCCGACTTGGTCGCGGTGCTTCAGCCCGGTGCGCCATATAGAGGTCCTGGAGGATAGCGGGGGCGGCGCCATGCGGCACCGATCCCGTCGAAGATGGAGACGACGATACATTCGGATGCGCCTACGGCGCCGGGTCGCTGGTCAGACTGCCATGGCTGCTCACGGCACGGCGCTCGCCAACCTCTTCCGTGTCTATAGCGCTGGCGCTGGCCATCGCCACACGGCTTCTTGCCGTCGATCAAGACGCCGTCCCTGTATGGCCTGAACACCTTGGCATCGACGTCGGCCGACGAGTAGGCCAACAACCCGGCCCCGCCCGCCGAGGCCACCAGGTCGTCGAAGGCCACCATAGACTGGGCCACCAAGGGAATCGCCACGACGACGACCACGTATCTTGGTGTGATCGCCTGTGACTGGCGGGTCCCCCCCTATCCCTTGCTGGTGCAAACTGTGATGAGACTCGCCTGTGCTTATGACACGACGAGCCTCGACAATGGCTCGGACGAGGAGGCTCGCGAGAGCATTCAACGCAAATTAAAGTGGCACCGAAGTCGAGCACGAGGACCTATAGGCATGGTCGCCGGCGACCTAAGATCTCCTTGACGATGCAGGCCGGCTGGCTCAGTAATGCTGGCCACGAATCCCTTCGCCGGCATCGCCTGCCTCAGAATGCCCCTCGCCAGGGCATAGCCGCGTCCCCGCCAACGAGCCCCTTCCTGTACCATCGCCAGCAGCACCCGTGCTGGGCAGCACATGGCGTCGATGGCTGAAAATCGTCGGGCGACGAAGAGCCTGCAGCAGCTGCAGCAGGTGCGTCGTACGACGGACTTGTCCCTGCACACATGACATGTGCTACACAACAAACGCTGCACAGACACAAACGCAGAAATCTGCAATCAACCAAGTTTTCGACACTCTTCGAAATCCCTTGAGCAACGTTGCAGAGTCTGCGGCAGGAGTTCCACCCAGTGTCCGCTGCGTCGCTGCCACGGCCCGGCCAAACTGCACGAATTCCCTGCCGATGTCCGGACTGAACGGCGCTGGTTTTGGATATTTGCACGCTCTACCCGTTCCACAGGCACAGAGCCATTTCGGTTGCCAGAACAAGTGACTCGTTGCTGCAGCAAGTACAAGCACCGCTTCAGTCTATTGATAGCCCTTCAACCTGACTTGAAATATGAGACTCTGGGGTATCTGTTCGCTCTATGCCGGCACCACATGGAGGCCAAAACCATGCTTGCATGGTGGAACTACCAGCAGCCGATCCCGATCAGAGCCTGGCAGGCACGGAAATCACCTGTCGCGGTCAAAGGCTGTCTGCACGATCCATAACGATGCTTCGAAGTGTTGTGAACAGCAAGCCTCAACGCCGTGACTTCAAGAGCTACTTGGTGGCAAAAACCGTATGTAATGCAACCTGAAAGCACGAACACCAACCGAATCCAAAACACAACTATCGGTCCATGCAACAGCCCTGTTTGTAGATGCCCAGTCTTGGGATTCTGAGGGCCGCTGAGGCAGTGGCGATCTCAAAAGAGCCCAAACTAAGCGCCTGCTTGAGAGGCGCCGCGGTAGCATTTCGAGGTGGCACCTGGAAATGTAACGAGTTGGTGGAGGCATGCCCAATTTCAACTGGCAAGCGGACACCAGTCACCCGAACAGTTTGTCTCCCTTGTCAACTCGCTGGGTGAAATCACTGAATGCTGTAATGTTCAAACCTTTCTGCAACATGTACAACGCCACTGTGTCGACCTGCTTGACGGGCAAGGCGGCGGGGGCTGGAGCCGGCCGGGCCGGCACCTGACTGTCGAGCAAACTGCTCCACGACATAACACACGCAGTCGAGAAACTTAATCACTTTCTGCTTTGGTCGGGCGGAACTGTCCACTGCTGCGAACACTCCTGCCATACTAGCATTTGGATTCGCAGGGCATGCTTTCACCTACCATGCATGCGACAGCTTCGGCGCACCTGGGCCTGCGTCTTTTCCGTCAAGGCGCTTTTGATGATTTGCTGGCACTTCCCATCCTTGGACAGCCGTGGTAATCGGATCAACCCACTTCGATGCTTCTTCAGATTCTGCTTTCTGACTGGCACTAGTAGGACCGATTTCCGCAACTAGTACTCTCGCAGTGTCTGGGAACGTCTCACACGATCTTTGCAGCTCTTGAGCTCATATCCCATGCTGAGGACAGAGCGCCACGGGCAAGGAGGTTCACTTTGGGACCCCCTGGAAAAGACCTGAGTGCACTTTGGAGTGCACTCCGACCGCTTCCGCTGGAACTGTGCCCAACTCGAAGAGCTGAGAGTACTGTGGGCAGAAGGGAATCGACTTTGCTGTTCTTGGTTGCGAGCAAGTGGGCGGACATGCCACATTCCATGAAACATCCTCTTTACAAGTCGCGCGCATCGACACCCTACTAGGCATGAAAGTGCAGGACCGAGGACACGCAGCTTGTCCTACGAGCTAGAACATTTGTACGTGTAGAGTACTGAGATGTACTGAGCAAAGGGCATCTGCGGACCCATCTGTTTTGTGAAGGTCTGGATGAGCCCTGCATCCACCTTCTGCTGAATCGCATCCTGCAAGCGAGCACAGAGACCGTCCCACACTCCTGCTGACGATGCACGCGTGATGCAACCTCTGGCTTTAGCCACCTTACCTTGTAGAACGTGTCTGAACCACATGATGCATGTTTCCTCGGCAATGTAGTTGTTCTCCAAGCGAAGATACAACGGAATGCCTGGCTTCAAGATGATGACCCCTTTGAAGCGGTCACCAGCGGGTGCGGTTATGGGCGAATGCATCAAGGATGCACGATGCTGCCAATATTGTCGAAGTGGTAACAGGAAACACAATCTGATGCAATCCTTTCTTAGGCCTTTCGCCGGATTTTGCGGACAGGGACGAGGATACCTGGCTGTGCAAAGGGTGGGCAGAAGCAAACCGGCAGCAGTGGACCATTCCGGGCACAGATCGCTCGTCTCGATGGCATCCATCAGTGCCAGAAAGCCATCAGTGGTGATGGCGCAATCTGACAGATGCCTGGCAACATGAAGCATCGACTCGCTGCACGGCTTTCAACTGTTGACTGCAATGACGGCGAGTTGACTAGAGGCTTAGAGCTCAATGCAGGCGGACCTGTACCAACCCCACGACGCTTCAGAAACGCTGTGACCCAGTCTTAGTGTTTTGTGAGTCGATCTGAATCTGCTTGTCGAACTTGCTAAATGCAGAGTGATTACGAAATGAGCCTGGCTGGAAAACATCAAAGGGTATGATGGGCGTCATGAAGCAAGCATGTTGCACGCTACGGAGGTGATCGCGTTTCGATCTCCTTCTGGAGCGACCGGTTTCTGTGAAAAACACAGCAAATCTGAGACTGCTTGGCCGATGGCAAGATCCACAACAATCAGAAACAGTCCATGCCATGAAGTGTAATTTTGTCACCCAAAACATGGGGTGGAGTGCAGCTCCCACGGCGCGGTATCCGCAGTAACTTGCCTGGGACAGCAAACATGTCTCTCTGAAGCAAATCCAACATACATTGACATGGGCTCCTGCAGCAATGAGCGGTAACAGCCCACAACCTCGTGATGGGTTCTACAGCAGGGAAGAAATTCTGGTGCATGAAATGGAGAAGAAAACGAAACCGGAAGCGCAAACGAAGACACGCCCGCGCAACCACCCGCACACACAGTCTAAATTCGATCAAGATAGCCCTTCCTCTGTTGCTGCTGACAGTAAGGCAATGGGACTCTGAGTGATGTTCAGCCTTTGCCTTGTGTCCTTATATTGACTTTTCAGAGCAATTGGGTGGAGGCCACGTGCCCAAATCTGACAAGCGTCCGTCGGCCGTCGGCCTATTTTTGACACCTTCGCCTACACTTGTAACTATGTTGATCACACCTCTGCGCCTGGACCTGTTCTGAGTTTATAACCCAGTATCCAATCAACGCTTCCAAGACGGATCCCGGCTTGAAGGACTGGGGTACCGGCCCAGAGAGAAAGTTTGAAAGCGACTGCAGAACCTGCCAGCAGAGATGATGATACGCGCCCTCGGATTGAGGGCACGAGCTGAACTTTGATGTTGGCGAAACTTGGTGAGTACATCACAAGATGCTGAATGATAAAGTGTTGTGTGTGCTTTACAGTGCAGTGACCTACGCCCCGAAGGGTGCCTTGCTGCACCAACGGGCCGTAGAAGCGGGAAGAAAAGAGTTGACACACACACACACACACAACTTCGCTGTAAGCACGGCCAGCCAGCGCAGCTGCCCCGTTTGCACCCTTGCAACTTCCAACAAGAAGCAAGAGAAACCCTTAGCCATGAAGGTGGAACCAACCAAAGCACCATACACCCAACCCATCAAGAGCCGTGCCCAAGAAGGACGGCAGAGGAAAAACGTCGCTGTGCCCACGGCCAGGCAGCCCGTCAAGACCCTTGCACAGCTTCCAGCAAGGAAGCAAGAAAAGCCCTCGTTTAAGAGGCACAAACCAATCAAGCACTTGAAACCAACCCCGCAAAACACAACGCGGAAGCGACAAAGCCCACCAACCCCTCTCAAAGGCCTGCACAAAAGAGCGACGCGCGCGAAACTCATTGAAGGCAAGGCCATCGGACCTAAAGACAATGACCCCTCAAAGCACCAGAGCCTAAACCCTGAAAGGGACACCGAAGAGCTAAAGCCTGCGGAAGCGAACGTCACGCATCGGCGCTTGCCGGATGGACAAACTGTTCAAACCACTTTAAAGCATCACGTTGCCTTAACCCAGCTGCTTGCGACCACATCGCCGCATCGTGCTGAGTCATCTGCCACGCCTCCAAAGAGCCGAACAGCTTCAGCGGCAGAGATTTGTGCCTCACGGTCCGCGAGACTGATCAACGTGCGCAACTCATCAGAATCACCTTGGAAAGGAAGGACCCAATCCATATGCCTGTCGTGCGCCGGGATCCACGCAATATCTGACGCAGGCGATGTGAGGGCATTTCCTTCCACTGACCGGGGGATCCAACAGGCAGAGGCCCGCCTCGTCTCACCAGTCTCACCCGAACCGCATTGCCGACCGACAGACAGTCGCCAAGCACGCAAACCGGAAAACCAGCATCCTGAGCAGCCTGGAACCTTGAGAACCGCCAAAGCCTCAGAAAGGGGTTATGCCGGTCAAGACCAGGAAGAACGAGCGCAGCGACACGCACAGCATTCTCCAGTTCGTTCAAAACAGAAGACCACAAGGTGCGATCATCGGCAAAGACAGACAGCTGTACGGAAGCGCCTTGGGGTTTCATGTGATGCACCCATGTGGCCATTGAGGCCGCCAACGAAGCACCACTGCACGGACAACGTTGAAGCAGCCCCCGTTTGCAGGAGAAGCTTTTGCAGAAACGCCTTGCCATTCCATGGTCTTCATCTGAGAACCATAGAAAGCAGAAAGCACGGCAGTGATCGATGTTTTGCACCGTCGAGAACGTTTTGCTCTAGACTCGCGTGCAAAGCTTCACTGGCGCAACGGCGTACTCAACGGCGTTGTTGAAGAACTGCGCCGATTCCAACGCGCCATGCTGGGGAAGCTACACTTATAAACTAATGAACTGAACTACAAAGTGTCCATCAAGTCGCGATGCTCGCCACGAACCAACTTGCGAGTCGGCAACGGCAAGAGAAAAACACGCGCTCGTTTGCGGCCCACCTGCCGCTCATGGCGCTTGAAATCGGATTGGGATGGTATCCAATTGGACCCCTGGCCCTTGCTAATAGCTTTCACGGATGAACCTGCATTGTGACGCCCTGCTGCTCATGTCGCGAACAACAAGAGGTGTTGGTAGTGAAGAACCGAGGGAATCCAGCGTGTGGCTCTTTCCGACTTGGCCTCAGGGCCTTATGGTTCGCAAGCTGCAAGAACATCGGAAGCTCAATGCCTGGTCATCCAGCGTCGGACACCCGAACATTCGGTATCGGATCACCTGGCCAAGATTAAAAGCCCTCAAACCCTCCCTTGGACCACAGCATGCCTCAAGTTTGTGCATCAGTAGCGATTTCTTCTGAGAGCTTGCCTTGTCTTGTCGTCAGAAACTCTTATCCCATATTTCGCAGAAGAGAACTTAGATCCTTTTAGCCCCTGCTTCCTCATTGGCCGCGTATGCGTGGCCCTCGAAAAAGCGCACGAAAGTTCAGCGTCCCGGCGCAGGCCTTTGCGCCAGCGACGCCCATAGAAACGAAGAGGGTCTGGCAGGCAACTGTGCATGAAAGATAGGTCGATCCACGAACTCTTGAATCCAAGGTTTGTTCTGTTAGTTCATATGACGCAAAACTGCTAGAAGTGATAAGACCATACAAGATCCGGAGCTCGTAAAGCACGTCCCCACGAATTGCGCACTGTAGTTGAAGGCTTTCCAAAGCTTGCAATCAAGCGCAGGGCACGCCAGACACCAAGCCCCTAGAGAGCTGCTAGGCTGAGGGAGGGCTGCTTCTTTTGCCAGTCATTTGGGCGACAAGGGCCTGCCTCGAACTGCTCAAGGGTCAGCCTGTTTTGCGAGACGTCCAGCTCCTGGATGACCGGACAGGCATTGGCATCTGACCTCCAACAGGTCGAGACATGGCACATGAGCCCTGAGCAACAAGGAAGTAGGCCGGGCCCAGTGCCCACTGCGCTCCAGCAAGGTTGTGAGCATGGTTTGGAGGCCGTCGAGCATCGCCTCCGCACAGCGGCTCGGACTCATGGAGATTCAAAGGCGGTGCCAAAAGTGGCGCCGGAAATTAGCTGAAATAACCTAGGGGTGAACAAAGCTTGTCTGCTTCGACCTCAAAAGCCTCTGGCGTTCGGAAGCGGCCGCGGCCTGCGATGCCGAGATGCTTTTGAGAGGCACTGTTTGCGTTAACATGTACCTGAAAGCCTCGAATAGTGCAGCAGCGGCCTTTGACCTCGATCCCAGCAGGAGTCTGCTGCAGCACCGGGCCGGCCGGGCCCTGCAAGCGTGAGAAAAGCCATGGGGTACAAAAGACACCTCAACAAAAACGACAACTGCGCGCGCCTGGTTGCCGGGAGGTGCCCAAAATGCCTTAGGGTTTGCTGGGCCGGGCTGGGGGCACGACGCCTGAGTTGTGTGCGAACCGATTCTCAGCATTTCGCCAAAGCATATCCCGCCATGCCAAGAATGCTTCAGGGCTAGGGCATGGCTGGAGAGGTGGTTGACAGAGTTGGGGCTGAAGGGAAAGCTGGGTTTGCATCGTCTCTAGTCATAAACTCTTCGAAAAGCTTGAGGACCTTGGAAACCATGTGGCTCCCGCTGGCTATTTTTGCTTAAGTTCTGGTCACTGCTTGATCTGTTGCTTTCCTTCTCCGCTCCGTTACACGATGTTACACGAAGCTGTTGACACCTCTCAAGTTCTGAGCTGGTCGTGTCAGTCCATGTGCTCGTGACCAAGTCGCTCCTCGTTCTTTCGAATGACTGCGGAAATGCTGCAGGTTTGCTTGGGCATGACAACAACCGCAGCACACCAAGCAAGTGGATTGCGCCAAGTCATTTCTCAGATCATAACGCAGGCGCCGCCCTCTCTAAACGTGCCGAACTGTCATGCTCCAAGCTTCGCCCTTTGTCAACAACAACTTCTCGATTGCTTCGCCCTTGGTGCCTCCATGGCAAGGGCGATGGCTCATGTGCAGGTACAGCAAGAAGGAACACAAGCCACTGCAGCCACGACAGCTCGAAAGACTACCCAGATCAGCACCGTTTCCGGGTGCTACTTTTCAAGACTACTACAGCCCGGGGCATGCAGAGCTTTCTGCATCGAGCTGTTATGGCAGACGACTGCTGATGCCCGTACCAAGAGATGGTCTAAGTTACAGTGCTGCCTGCATGGAGCACTGCCGCACCAGTCAAATGCCAAGTGAAGGCGCTGGGAGATGTTTGGCTGCTGCGGGACGGAGTTGGACCTAGAGCTATGGATTTTGGCTTGGCCATGGGCGAGGCTTCCCGCTAGCCGCGGTGCTACAGCCAGCATAGCATCAGTCGGTCTGCGGAACTCACAGCTGCCCCTGCTCAGACAGGAACCTGGAGATGGATGTTTTCGTTTTACGCCCAGAGCCCGCTTCCGTGCTTAAACGGCTTCGACCTTCTGCTCGGCAGATCGAGCTAAGTTACGTGCCAAAGGCGTGCTGTCCGATTGAAACAGGAAGTCTCGAAAGATATATACGTACGAACCAAACTGGTGCCCAAGTGCAGCACTGCTCCAGGGAGGAAGTTTGATGGCGATTGGGATCTCGGATGCCCTTGTTCGTCAGGTCGCAGTACCTTCAGAGCTTGATCTCAGAATTAGCACTCACATGCTGGAAGGCTCTTGCACGAGCCTTGCCACACCTTGTGAGGACACCAGTGTGCATCCCGTGCTATCACTTCAGCACAGGGAGTAGCAGTCGTCGTCGACATCGCAGCTGCTGCTGCCGCCGCAGCTACTGCTGCGGCAGGCAGCACAAGCAGAAGCAGGAATCTGCGCAGCTAGAACAAGCATACAGGCTAGCGGTTAGCACTCGTCAGGTTAGTCATCACAGCAATTGCGAATGGCAGTGGCGGTTGTTTGTTTGTACCGCAGTCAGGGAGGTCCAGATGTCGCGACAGGAAATAGGTCGGCGATAGCGTCGCCAGTAGCGGGAGCAGTAGCAGCAGCAGCAGTAGTAGCAGCAGCAGCAGCAGCGGCAGTCGTCGCCGTCGTCGTAGAGTAGCATAGTCGTGGTAGTAGCAGTAGTAGTAATAGTAGTAGTAGTAGTAGTAGCAGCAGCAGCAGCAGGAGTAGCAAGTAGTAGTAGTAGTAGTAGTAGCAGTAGTAGTAGTAGCAGCAGCAGCAGGAGTAGTAGTAAAAATAATAATAGCAATAGTACTAGTACTAGTAACTAGTACTCCTGCTGGTACTGGCACTGGTACTAGTAGCAGTTGTAATAGCAGTAGTGGGCAGTATCAGGGTCGCTCGCGTCTGCGATGTAGTCACTAGTTAGTTCAATGGAAATATTTTGAAAAATGTCTTTGTAGCTAAAGCCTTGAAGCCTCAACACTAAGTCCCAAATCCTAAAACCCGAAAAACCCGAAAAACCCTAGCCCAAAAAGCTGGAAACGTCTGAAAACCTGCTGGATGATCCCCCGTCGATGGTGACCTTGCCATTCAAAGACACCACTGCGCCGTAGCAGCAGCAGTGGCACCACAAGATTTGCTAGTACCGCTAATATCTGCTAATAAGTGCCGACGGAGGGTAGCAAGCGCCGGTGCTGCCAAACCCGGCTACAAGCTGTTGGAGCCGTGTTGTCGCCGACAACCTACTGCGCTCCGAGAGTGTTCGCCGCCGCAAAAACAGGGCAGGCATCTGGGTTCGCGATGAGATCAGCAGGGTACGTATTGCAAATCTCGCGTTTTGGCCCGATCTTTTCAATTCTCTGGACGAGTCTGGAGCATCATCAGCACAGCCGCCGCATGCATGATGCACCACTGCATGGAGATAGGGTGCGTGCACGTGCACGAAACCAAATGCATGCAGAACTCCGGTCCGCCGCTCGTTGTTTTCAAACTACACAAGAACTGCGTTCATTACGATTCGCTTTTCACTTCGTGTGTCGCGGAGATAAAACCAGATTTGCGTGCAACACTCCAACAAGTCGTCCGACGGCCTGGTTTTGTCCTGTGAGCCCTTTTTGCAGTGGTGCTGTGAATCCTGCTAATTACAGTTGAGCTTGCTCTGTCCGACTGTGGAGCCAGACGCAGTCCGTCTGCAAAAGAAGCCCCATAAACCGCCCTCCCAAAACAACACGCAGCAAATGTGTGACCCTCAAACGAGTGACTCCAATTGCACCCAAGACCCCGACGACCACCATGCTTCTCTAGCAGTCGGGTCTGATCTCTGCATGACCTCGCGGACAGCAGGGCTCACAGCTGAATTTGGAGAAGAGTGAGTTGTTCGACAGAATCATTTATGCATCCTTGATTCCTGCACTGAGCAGTACAAAGTTTATGTTGCATACAACCCGAGAACAGTCACTTCAGAGGGTTGAGCAAGGCGAAACCCCTTCTGCTGACCATGCACGAAAAACATCCCAGCCTTGATCTTCTCAACCAGAGCTGCCTTCTGCTCATCACCATACTGACAGACAGATGCTTAGGTGGATTACGGAATTTAGGCCCGTCATGGAGAGAAGACACACACCTACATCAAGCAAGCATCGTGAAAGCGGCAGTGTCCTCCGCAACTGGAGTTTCAAATCGCGGCCTGCTGCGGGTCTTTGCATGATGGAATCGCTGTGATCTCTGTTGGACTTGCTGGGATGTCCAGATTCCTACCGTCATTGAACTTTCGCCGCCTTCATCGCTTGCAGACCTACTAGGCATGGTGAGAGCTGCTCATGGAGAGCTGCGAGCGACAGCCGAGGAATGTGGGAGGGTAGGGGACAATTCGCCCAGGCCTTTTAGCAGGCGGTGCTTCTACTGCTGCGCCGCCCAGCTCGAGCTCTCGCCTAAACCAGCGCGATGATGCGACACTGCTGCGAAACTGCAAAACTTGATCGGCTGGGTGCAAGGCAATGCAGTCTCGCCAACGAAATCAATGAATTGCCGCAAAAAGTTCCTGGCACAACTTGTCAGCATCTGCTGGGCTCGGCTAGCCCTTGTTGAAACAATTTCGCCCAACGAGGACACTCAGCCCTCCCTGCACAAGAGGCACGAGCATGGCGATTGCTTCTAAACCTGCTTCAAAACTGGCATCGCGACTGCTGCTTTGGAACGCCGGCGTTGGTGATGTGGTTTGCTGCTGCTGCTGCTGCTGCATTACGAGTGGCAGTGGCCGCTCCTGCTGATGAGTTATTCGTTCGCTATCCTATCTCGGATGGGCTAAGGTGCAGCTTTTAGCCACGGGTTGACACACAGATAGTCTAGACACAGCAATACACTCAATGTTGGCACGGCACTGGAGCACTCGGCGGTGCTAAAACATAAAGAGTTGTCATGCATCTGTCACGGGATTGTCATTGGCGAACATGACAGCACTACACAACAAGCCCCACACTGAGCCGCCGCTACTGACCGGCATACCAGTTTACGACCCTCCCATTACCAGTCAACCCTGCACCTCATCCCAAGATCCAAAGCCCAAACAGCTAAACCGTCCAACATCCAAATTCCAAAAGGAACCAGGACAGCAGAAGGGAACTCATCGTAACCGCTGAACGTGGGCAAAGTTCCAACAATCCCGGCAACACCTTGACTACAACATAGCCAGCTTCGCTCTGGATGCTTTGTGGGATCGTTGACGGAGTTTCCATAGGCAGCGCAGAACGTCTGACACAGGCACGGACGGGGGCGACTGGCACGACAAGTCTGAATGATTGTTCGGCGCAGGTCAGTCCACACTGAAGCAGAGTCGACTTGAACAAGAGACATGTGAGACGTGAGAGGCAAGCTTCAACCCATCATTTCATCAGAACCTATCTGCTGCTTTCGCATGCAGCTCCCCTTAGCATCGCGTTCAGTACTGCAAATCGGGTCCGTGCTGACCTGCCACGCAGCTCGCCAATTTGGCGAGGTCCTGGAGGGAGGAAGCAAAAAACGAGGGCTCTGCAGCCCGATTGAAAGCACGCGGGCCTCTGCCCGACCTTCACGACCTCTGCCATGGGGTTCAATGGAGTTGGAGCAGCCATTACTGGCCTGGGCTGGACACCGCACAAGATGTTGCGGCAAAAAAGTAGAAAAAGCGCATGTTCCTCTGTGGCTCTGGCCGCGCTGACGGAGTTAGCCGGGGCACGGCCGCAGGAATCTGGCATGCAAGACCCCGACAAGAGATCCTACACTCACCCATGAAAAGAACGTCTGGGCACATAGATCTTCATTCGGGGCTACCGGAGCAGACCTTCCCTGAACGGGACAAAACACGCCGGCAGGGGCTCGCGACTGGTATGTCGGGGCTGGCGCGAATCGAGAAGTCGGGGTCCTGCCGTTCATAAAATCTCCGGCGGAATGGGATCATCGGGCAGCAATTTACCGGGAGAATGCCGTCGAGATTTTTAACTGTGGCAAGCCACAAACTACTGAAACTCGTCTCTTGCCAGTGGAAGGTGGGAACATGGCCTCATGTTCTTGGGGACCAATGCTTGCATGGATAAGATACAGTAGGTACTTCTGTAAGCAGGGTGGAAGCTAGTCTGTGCACCAGCTAATCAGTTGGTAATTCCAGCCTGTTCTTCGGAAGCGAGCTCACAGCTAGCATGCATAGTGCGAGTTGAAAGTGGCTTTCCGTTGCTTACTGGTGATGACAGCACATTCCTCGTCACCCATGCTGAAGAACCTGTCTGAAGCTTGCCTTGCAGCCTGAAGTTGCGCCGTTAAGATCTGCAGCCGAATGCGGTGCAGCCAACCTCAACCTCGAGCTCTGACATCAAATGCACTAGACACTCCAGCCTCTGACGAACCCTAAAGACCTGCACTAGACCGTGGGCCACAGGGGTGAAGTCACGTGATCGGCAGGGGGTGGAGGAGCCTCTGTTGAGGTCTGCTGGGGGTGTAACCTGGCCACAGGAAGGGCTGGGACGTGGGAGGGGGCTGGGAAGGAGGGTCCGGGAGGGGTGAAGGGAAATGGGACACAAAAACTCAAAGGCTGCAGGGGTTTTGCGGGCTTCTGGTTCTGAAAGATGCTCTGAGCTTAGTGAGATTTTGACGGGTTCTTGGCACACCAGCAAGCAAGGTCGGTATGCCTCTAGACCACTCATATGAATATGATATTGCGAGGCACCCGACGATCTATGGTCATGAGTCATGGCTATAGCAGGCCACATGATTCATGCTCGTCTGGGAGTAGTGGGTGGGGATGCAGGGCCGCCGGCCCCGTTCAACATCAAAAGGACATGGGAGAAGCGCGCATGCTTGCTTGGAATCGACTACTGAATCCCCAGCTGATTAGGCTGCCCATCAAAAGCAGCTTGTTGCCGACGCAGCCGTCTGCGGCAGGTCCAGTGCATTTGCTTCCCTGCCTCCGCCTTTACCGCATCCTCCACTTTCGTAACTCGACAGGAAGTTCGACAAGGTGTACTCATCGTGCCGATTCGGATCCTGGATGCATGTAAGGAGGAAACGTGAGGTATCTTGTGAGCGACAAGTGCAAATTGCCGCTCAAGAGTACAACTCGCAAATTTGCCTTGACTCCATTGTGCTGTTCTTCGCAGTAGCTCCACCATGCCTGTCGTTGTGGGCATCTGTCGGGGTTCTCGTGTCAGATTGGATGCAGAGCGCAACTGCTCCCTTGCCTTTCCACCAACAGCTGAGCTGAAATCCCTTCTGGGTTGAAATGCCGGGGTCGAGTGAAGATGCTGATGGCCTGCTTGGCATTCTCGTCCGTTCTCTGCAAGCTTTTGATTCGATCGACGAGCTCTGCCTTGTGCACAACAAAGCAGCAACTTTCGATCGCTGCCACACTCGCGACTCGCAGGCCTGCCTTCTGTGCCATGACTCAAAAACCCCCCAGAAAGGGTCCAATTGCAGCTTGAGCAGGCTGGCCGGCCGGCATTGTTCACATCTCATGAACATGCGGAAACTGAGCTTCGAGTGAAAAACCTCGGGTTAGACTCCAGCAACTGTAGGTAGTGCACCAGGATAATCTCTTTTCTGACATCACACCGAGCTCAAAGCCACCTCTTGATCCTCTTTGCTACCAAAACCGCACAGAACGGAGTTTGAGCAGCCTTCAACAGCCAAGCGATATGTACCCTTTAGCCTTTAGGATTTCCAACTATCCGACCTTCGTTGACTGTCGAACCGGTGAGACGCTGTGATCCCGCTGATCGTGGTTTCACGCAACGCAGCGTGTGCTTGCAATGCTGTCTTCCAAACTTCTTCGGAGAAGTTGAGCATAGTCATAGTCGAATCTTGCCGACTAGTTACAAGTCAAAGAAGGGTTGGCATTTACAAAAATGCTGCGTGCGGTCACGAGAAGGCCTCCCTGCTCAGGGAAAGCCCAAAACCACACGCTGCAGTAACGACTTCAAGCACAAAAGCCCATGAGAGACAACGGCTCAATCATGTTCAATCACGCCTGGAATTGTGTTTGTCGATGCACGCGAGCAGGAACTTGAGCAGAGAGTGTCGGCTGCAGGTCATCTTGGCATTCGCCACTGGGTGTACGGACCCTTGCTTGAGCCTGACACTTGGGGCTTCACGCGGTGTTTTGGAAGCGCCTTACATCGCGGCGTTTGGCGTATGCCAATGTGTCTGGTCTTCGCGACACTCCTTTAGATGGACATTTGATGGACCAAACATGCCAACCACAGCCAATCACAGGCCCACCCCTCCCGACATTGTCCACGACATCAGAAACCGGTGCATGTCTGTCCGATGTGCGATGTATTTGGGGTGTGTCCGGGCAACAGAGCCTTGACAAGCTCGCGTGTGAGAGAGGCCCCGACTTGCGGGCGGTGTTCACACTGCGATTCCACTCACTGTTTTGAAACTGGGAAGGCTCAAGGCTTTCAGGGTGTTGGACCTGAGTTTAATACTTGGTCTTGACATTCTTGACATGTGTTGTGATGCCTTCCAAGGAGCCGATTGTTGTACTGATCTTGCTGTCGGGCTACCACTAGTCACTAGGTTGCGGTCCGTTCAGGAAACCACTGGAAAGCAGCCTGCTTAGGAGGCTGAGCGCAAGAGCCGCAGCGGGAAACAGTCTTCGCTGAGGCTGGGATGACTGGCCAAAGAGCTCCACCGTAGACAACCGACAAGGTAGGAAATTGCATCATGCCGTAAAGAAGACGATACAACTGTGCTGCCATGCCACGATGAACTGGCTCCCACAGTGGCCATGCATGACGCAGACAGCCACAAGGCAACATGCACAGTATCTTCTTTGTACTGTGCATCTGCATACGCTTCACTACATCACGCTACAGTGCTCTGGTGTGCGAGCCAGGCGCTGCCCTGCTGAAACAACGCTCGTCTAAGCATTTTAGGCTCTAAGATGCAAGGTACACAGGCTCGCATATCTTTGACAGCCACTCCTAGCACTGGGTCCTATGTGTTGTCGAGCAGGCTGGCAGCACATGACCACCGACAAGCTAACCATCGGTTTACCAATGGCTCAAATGAAATTTGTCACGACTAGCTTGTCATTGGCACGAGTCTGCTCGCGATCCTGCCCGGGGCTGGTACAGGGCGCATCGTCAGCCATGATGGGTGTGAAGCTACTGCACACGAGATTCTGGATGAGGACAGAAACTGCAATGACTGCAGACTGTAGGCTTGGGAAACAAGCATTGTCAGCCCTGTGCGAAACGGTTCCAAGATGTTGTGACAGCTAGGAGTCACCGGCCCTGAAAGTGTTTCCTCACCTGGGGGCCGAGGAATCGCACTTGAGCGCAGGCTTCGTTGACGTCCTTCTGCATGTCTGCAAGCCTGTGGTCGTCGCCGCATCTATCTGGAGGGTCAAATCTTCCTCACTATTCCACAAGTTGAATTTGCTCTAGCTGCTCTAGCCTGGACAAATGAGCTGTCTGGTAGACCCGCAAGCCGAGAAAGTGGAGATATGAAGAAACCCAGCTGTGCTATCTTTATCTATCTCTCGTCGGCCTCGGCCACTCCCGCAGGAGCAAGGAAAACGTCTGCAGTGAGGCGGAAGCCCCAAACCCATCCCGCCATTCAGTCGCCGGGCCACTGCTTCATAAATACGAAGAAGGGGGGTGCCGTCCATTCGTCCAGCGGTCCTGGACAAGGATCAGTTTCGCATTCTGAAGTCTAGTTCCTTGACATGTGCTGAACCCTGGCAAACGCGGCTGGCAGCTGAGCGTAGAAAGAATCGTCAGCAATACTATAACGGTAGCATACAATCAGACTGAGCTCCTTGCACAACCATGTGGATTGAGCTGAACACCAGGCTCAAACCAAGCAGAGCACCCTGCCCGAGCCTCCCATTGGCATCGGCATGGCCCCTCCCAAAGGATTGGCTTTTTTCTGCTGGAACCTCGCAAATTTGCCATGCGACCGCCAGCACTGGTAGTGCATGAGAAGTATTAGCAGCTGCGGAGTCACACACACACACATGACACGGCAAAGGTTGTCGCTTGCAACAAATAGGCTGGGGTTGGCATGTTCCCTCCCAGCGGCTTATTGAATGCGTGGCCCGCAGCCGCACCGGCAGCTGCGCCCATCAAGGCGGTGAGCTTGCAGTTCATACTGCAAAGCCTTCAAAGCCACTCTCACTGAATGGAGTCTGCTGAATGTCGATGGGCACTGCATGTGGGGAGCCAACAGATCCAGTCTGGCTCGGATCTCGCTTTAGCCACGATGGTAGCGACTGTAACATCGGGCATTTTGGCGCTACCTCATCCCGTGATGAAACGTGAACCCTTGAGCTGGACCTCAAGCCTCGAATCTCCGAGGCACACCCAAAGCCAAGGCCACAAGGCAGTCAAGCGTCTGCTTTTCGACGGTCTCAACCCTGCCAGACAGATCGCATTGCATGGCATCACCAAGACCAAGCAGCATCACTCCGAGCCACTAAGTGGAGCATGACCGCGTCATAATACAGCTTAGCGTCTGCTTCTGCAGCTTCTTCAGGCTGTCTGCTTCGTTTTCTTCGTCTTTCGCGTCCTCCGGCTAATGTATACACCCAAACATACTTGAAACTCGAGGTGTGGGTGTGGCTCGGTATGGCCAGGCTCGGCTCACGCAGAGTTCAGGTGCTGATGTTCCTCAGAATCCTGGCTTTGGGCTTCCATGGCTCCTTCTCATCCTTCTTCATAAACAAGCTCAGGGGATTGATGGCGCCCAACATGCCACCGATGGCACCTTTGAAGCGGGCGGAAACGCATCCTTCCGGATGGGACAGCAAAACAGTTCGCTCCCCTCAATGTTGCTTGCTTATTCATGGCATTCTTCTGCAACAAGCCTACGTTCTGCAAGGTCGCTATGCTCGTCTGCGAACAAAGGTTTAGCAGAGCCCGCCCGGCCCCCCCCAGTCATGGCAAGACTAGTCACCGGTAATGCCCCCGGGGCAACGGGTCTGACAGAGGAGAAACGCAAGACCGCCAGCTGCTGCGGCGCCTGAAAAGCGTGGCACAGCTTGGCATTGCATGATAGGCTCGGCCATGGACTCTCCCGGAGTTGGTCCCCTCATATGCAGAGGCCTCCTGCCACTGCCATGATCATGGAGGTGGGCTCCTGGCGGGAGTTTCTGAGGCAGCAGTCTCCCCTGCATAACGGCAGCGCAAGGCACCTGAACCTCGGTTGAGAGCCCTCCATGGCTGAAGCGGCTCTTGAAAATAGGCGGCATCGGTGTCGACGCTCTGACAAGCTAGCGAACAAGAAAAGAGCCAAAGTTGACCCACCTGTGCAAGTTGAGATGTTTCACCAAGGCCAAAAATAGATCAAACATCTCGCTGAGCTACTGATGACATGAAAATGAGTTGTTCCAATTCCTGGGCATCTGCTAAACACTTGAGCCCCGGCTGGAGTTTCGTCAGTCCCTTGCCGGTCCCAGTAGTAGGTGCAGCTTTGGGCAGAGTAACATGCCATCATGTCGAACGGTCAATTTCGAAGAAGCTTCGACGGCGCCGCCTGCCACCAGATTTCCATTCAACCTGGCGCAGGCCTTCTACCTCCAACGCCCGCAAGGGCCTGACGATTACTGCAAGCTCCAGTTGCACAAAACGCGCAGTTGTTTTCGAAAATCGCTGCATGAGGGGGCAAGCGCGCCACGCCGGCAAACCTGGGTAGCTGGTGTTTCTGAGGCCCTGCAGCCTTGGCAGCACGAAGGCGGCTGGACCCCGCATTTCGGATCATTCGGGACCCTTCGAAAAAGCACCCTCAAAAAGCTTCAAAGAAGCAGGGACACAGGGACACAGAAACACCCCATAGCCGCTTGGCCCTCTTCTGCAGCTGAGGAAGCTGGAGCTCATCCAGTATGCGAGGCATGGGCTGCCATCTGTGGGCCACCTCCTGAGCTCCGCTTCTTGCATCACCTAAAACAAAGCGCGGAGTCCAATCGCAGAGATCCCCAAGCCAAGCGGCACAGCAGCGAAGAATGCTGCTGACAGCGACAGCACTGCTTGTTTGGCAAAGCTGGTCCAGAAGCCTGCCGGAGACCTGCACTGGCATTGTGGGGTTTACAGTTTATGTTGTGTTGAGCAGGGGATTCGATTCGATCTCTTTCGATGGGAGGTGAATGCGGGGGTGAGTTGGACACTGTGGCCGCAGCTGCCTGCCTTCCAAAGACCCAGTGGTTCACAGGCGCGGCTTGTGCTGCTGCATGAGATCTCATCCGGGCGGACCTTCCCGAGAAAAACATCAGAGACACGCATAGGCGGTAAAGACCGGTGTATAAACAAGACTTAGAACTTGAGGATATACCTGTGCACAAGACTTCGAGGTCTCACTTACTATTACAAGGACCCTAGCCCTCGCTTCGGAAGACTTGAGCTTCACGGCTCGACGTGGCAATGAAGCACCCGTGCGATACACGCTGCCAGGCCTGGCTGAAGTGCATCTCAGCATAGCATAACACGGCCAAGCGCCACCTCTTGCTAGACCCGGGCCATCAATGGGGTTGGGAGATTGGCTGAACCGATTGGCGCTGAAGAACTCGTAAATATCTTTCCGGCCAAAACCCCAACCTGGAAACCATCCAGGACTTCGTCGACACACGGACCAAGTGACTTCTTGGCTGCTCCACAAGCACTGATCACGGCATTGAAGGCTGCAGATGGTGGAAGCAGCCTCTCCAAAAAGAGCTCACGAGCCGGAAAAAATTGGAGTATGGCGGCATGCCTCTCCAAGCCTCTGATTGTGCTTCTGCATATGGAGAGTAGCAAAGCGCTTCTTGTAAACTGCACAGGGCTCCTTTGCAGCGACATCGCTGAGAGCAGCTTTCTGGCAGTGCGCCACTGGCTCTCCTGCAGCGGACAAGGCTTCGAGACTACACAAGGCTCCTGCCTGCATCGTTCCAATTTCCAGAATCGGACCGCATGGCAGCAGGAGAGTCTACATCATGACGAGAGTCATCAGCCACCTACGAGTGAAACGAGTCTTGCAAGTCTTGGACTACTCTTAGGCAGTCACCGGTGATGAAAATCTGACTACCCCGAGTACGGCACAGCAGACTCTCACATCGCGCATCCTTTTCGCAAGCGCTGATAGTGCTGCAATAGCCTGCTGCAGTCACAACCGAATGAAGAATCTACATCAACTGTGCAGTAAGTGGCAAGGCTTCGGGAGGTGGTGAGCGTGTAAGCACTCAGCGTCCTATAACCAAAAGTGCCAGTGCAGGAAAGCAACTGATAATGTCGGCGAGGACAGCGACCTCCAGAGAAAAATCATGGTGCAACAGCTGTGCGAGGCATGTGTTGAAGGCCTTTGATCGCACCTTCTAGACTTATACCACACATTGCGGAACCCTTCTTTGCTCGCCACAACCTCTGCAAGGAACATCTTGGAACTGTAGTGATAAGTCCTACTGCACCAAGGGCTCCAACGGTGGGACCGTAGTGTCATGACCAGGACTTCTAAAAAGACGCAAAGACACTGGGAGCAGAGGAAGGAGCCCCTGGGCTGCCTGGGCTAGCAAAAGAAGCAGCTGCAGGGCAAGCTTCCAGTGGCGGCCCTTCTCCTGGGCTCATGATGGGGCTCTGAGACATGATGGATGCACTAAGTAGCAACTTTCAGGAAGGTGAAAGCCCTACATCCTATCTCCAGGTTAACTCTGTATGCCGCGATCACAAGCCTTGCTTCGGGTTTTGTGGTTAGGGTTTTTGGGTCTTGGGTTTAGGGTGTAGGGTTTAGAAGGCTACAGTGTGGGGGGGGGGGGCGTTTTCGGGTTCCTGCAGAAAGTATAGGATTGTAGTGCGCAGTAGGCTTTAAGGCCTTTAGGATTTTGTGGTTTTGGGGTTGGAGTTTAGAGTTCAGGGTTTTGGGGTCACGCCCGGTTTTGCCCTATAGGAAAGTGTACATGTACTGCATTGGTTCCAAGCCGTTAATAATATTGCAGGCTCGGATCATACGCTTTTTTGTGCTGCACTTGCAAACTTTCGCCGAAGCTTGAGAAGAACGTTCTCCTGGTCCTTCTGGTCAGCCGTTGGACTTCGCTTCAATGCAACATGATGCAACAACATGCTACAAGTAGCCACTGGCGAGAAGATTCTGCGCTGCCCCCGATTAATCTTCAACCATGGGCTGCTTGCCACGGCACGCAAGCGCTGATCACGCTGTTGTAGCTGATGACGCCCGGCCTTCCGATCCACGGCTGCGGCTAGGGAGTGTTGGGCTCCTCCCTCCATCCCCTCCCTGCAAAGCACGCAGGCGGCCTGATGCCCTCTCGGGCCATGTAGACCAGTAGCCAGGCAGCCAGCTGCCACTTTTCCTTGTCAGCCCTCTGCCGTCACAGCACCCTCTCTTCTAGGTCTTGTCGTGCGTGGAGCTATTCAAGTGGGCGTATCAGCTTTTGAAGCCAACGTGTCGATGTGCACCTGATGTAGAGCTCCAGCTTCGGCGCAAGTAACAGGATCAGCGGACCATATAAACTTAACAACAAGCCCGTGTCCTTCTTCTCGCAAGCAGCGATGGCACTGTTGAAGCCTGGTGGAGCGGGAAAAAAGGACATGGCTTGCTCCAGCCCTTCGGCTCTTCTTCTATTGCCCGGGGAGCTGATCTCGTTGGCACGAAGAGCCAGAGCTGACATGGAAAACAGCAGCGCTAGCGCGGGCTCCCACATGGAGGCCTGCAGCCAGGCGGGAATCTATGAAAGCGCATGTCGCCTGTGTGTGCGATCGTGTGACAAAGTTGAAGCCAGCGGAATGTTGAGAAGCTAATGAGGACGACGTGCCTTGCCACATGCACTGATGGCGGCATTCCAGCAGACTTCATCGGGCCGCATGTTACGGCCCAGAAGCGTGTGGAGTAGCCTGACATTGCCATCAAGTGTCAGACGGGGGGGCCCGGTCGCCTCGCGCCACTACCTTACCTCTTAGATGATTGGACTGGATCATTGAAGCTTGGCAAACAATTTCTCCAAGGCACGTCAGTGCAGCTTGCCACTCGCCTGCTTTCCTGGGTCTCCCAATTTGTGCAAATCCGGGCAAACCCGTGGAAGCACCGGCCGAGCGTCTCAGAAGCGCTGATCATTCCGCTGAAGCTTACAATGTCGGGTCGAGCCTGTTCCAGGGTCCAGCTTTCACCAAGCCTACGACTCCGAAGCCCTGTGAGTACAGAGCCAGAGCCAGACAGGGGAGGGTCTCAGCAAGTTCGGTGCAGATAGCTGGGTTGACCCGGACGTCTTGAGATCTTCATAATCATCGCCTGTCCATGCTAGTTGTAGGGTTCGGGAACAACCCAGAGCCGAGACCTTCCTAGATTTCACGGCCTTGTGGGACCACATCTCCTCCAGGATTGCGAGGGCATTCTGCCACTGCGAACTCTTCTCACAGGAGCTGATGGTGCAGTTGAAACCTCCAAGCAAGGTCTTTGACATTCTTTGACTCTGAGACTCTGGCTTCTCTGGGCTGCTCCGGGCTGCTGGCTAATCACATCGGGCGCGACCTTTGCACGCCGCATTTCCTGCAAGGCAACTCTTTCAAGCTTCAGAACGGTCAGAACTACAAGTAGCCCACCGCATGCCTCACCTGGCAGCTTTCACCCCATCCCACACAGGAAGGATCAATCAATAGATTGAAACCCGAATTCTGGCACCATAACCTGCACAGCTTTCTGCAGAGTTGGGATGTAGCAGAAGCACTCAGAATGCTTAGAAAAAGCCAACTCCTCTCGCAGAACACTAAGTTCACAGCAAAAAGACTGCTGTCAATCGTTGACCGGCTCTGGCCATGGGATGAAATCTTGCACCTTTGTCAGACTGGACCTGTCTTCTTAGCACACTGAGCAGACGATGAAAACAAATTCTTCAAGTTTGCGTTTACCCCACAAATACTGAGTCGCTTCTCAAAAGTGCTACCTGGTTTAACTGCCTTGCTTGCTCTTCTTTTCTCAAGATCGATCCAGCTTGCAAAACGCGTTCTTCGTCCTGTGCATGTTGAAAAGCACAACCCTCCTCCACCCACCCCCACTCGTGTCCGAGAAAAGCTCCAGCGCCGTCTGCCATTCTCTGGACTTCTCCGCCGCGCTGATTGCGCTGCTGAAGGACACCCTCGGCTGGCGAACCGACTCGCAAAAAAGTCTTCCAACCTGAGTCGCCCTTGGATTAGTCCGGATAGACCAGTGTCGAGATCTATTTCGAGTCAAAGCACACATCCGGCGCCACTTGGTGGTCAGGAAACTCTGACAAAAGCGCCAGAGCAGCTTGCCATTGGGCTGCTTTCCTTGGGTATGCGCTCCTGCAAAACTCTGACATCGACACAGGGATGGTGGCACACTCATTGCGATCTGAAGCTCGCAGCAGCATCCAGGGCGCTGTTCATCATGATTGCCTGAGTTCATAGCTCATCGGACTTTCAAGCCTTTATGGTCCTGTTGAGCATACATGAGCGTACCTGGACCCAACTTGGATCCGTAAACTGCCTCCCCTCGATTTGGCCCGGGGGACGTTCGGCAGCACAGCGCCCGCTTGCATCGCACCAAGCATGCGCAGCCCGAGGACCCAGCACCTTCGCTCTTCCGGTAGGCTCGAGGCGAGTGGAGCGATAGTTTTTGAAACGCATGTCTTCGTGAGGCGTGCATGTCTCCCCAACTTCTTGCACTGTGAACTGTGAGCTTCAAGCTATCCAGATCCGACATCTGGCGATAGGGAGGCGGATTTCGTGGCACCCTTGAAGCATCTGAAAGCACTGGAACAGACATTTGCGGGGGTTGGAATAGGTCTGAGGTGTATTTCTGCACAGCACCCGTCTTGAACGCCGGCATCCACCACGCTGCTGTAACCTGGGCAATGGGCTTGGTGCTCGATTACATGCTCCAAGGTGGGCATCCAGGCGCAGAGAAGCATGACAATAAAAGCATCCCAAAGCAAGCTGTCCTTTTATTCAGTTGGAGCATGCCTTGCCGTGCGCTCGTGGGTAGCAAGACATGCCCGGAAAATCTGTCGCACCCAAACACGTTATGCGTTCCACCAGCCAGAAAACTGATGACGTCTGGGACTAGTCCACGCTGCTGCATCTCTGCATTCAGATTCAGGGCAGCCTTCCATGGGTGCTCAAATTGCACATGTTTTTCCTGAATGACGAGGGATAATGTCTCACAGTATGCGTGTCGCCGTAATCACATGTACACACCAGACAGGCAGCACTACAGTCACTGAATCTCAATATCTATGTCAACGAAGCTCGCACTGCACCACCTTATTGTCCGGCCTGCCAGCCAGCACCGGCGCTGCAGGAACTGATCGCGGTATTGAAACCTCAGTCGACCGATGTGCAACCGATTCCGTTCCTTACAACTCGCCGAAATGAAACGCTTTCCCCAGCAACCGATACCGGCAATCTGTACAATCCTCTGTGCATTTTCTACCCACTGGGCTACGACATGCTCAAGCGCAACACTCAATGTGATCAAGAGTGCTGCACTCGGTGCCGTCAATTCCGAAGGCTTCAGCCCTCTAACAACCAAGAATCTGATCCCATCAGCTGTGTCTGCCTCCACTAACCTTGCCAGTCGTGCTTGGACAAGGGCTGTTGCCGTCGCTCGTGGCATCCAGTGTGGCTCTGTATCTGGACATTGACGCACACTGTCAAAGCTTGCAGCAACTGATCCAAGCTAAACCCGGCGGCACGAACTTGGCGGGACTATCGGCTTTCTCATAATCCCCGCAAACAATTCGTGCCACAGAAACAGCCGAAGCGCAAGCTGCCAGAACCCAACTCCCACGGAGCTGCTGATGGCAGTGTTGTGCGTGATCCTGAGGCTCAGGATCAGCTTACTACACAAGGTACTCTTCTGCACTTCGACATTCTTCATTGCTTTATCTGATGCAGGAACAGCATCAGCATCACATGGAACTGGAAAGAACGATGCTAAAGCTATGCTTGGCCGAGGTGCACATTCGGTAAGATGCTGTGAGCGCGCATGCCTGTAGAAACGCTAAGCATGGAAGAACACCATCTGACGGCTGCCTGCCTCGGAGGAGAGACGAGGCAAGTTGCCACTGTTCAGCCCGGGCACATGCTGCCAGCGTGCCTCGAGCTGTGTCGTTTCTTGGCAGAAGGAAGGTGTCTTACTGTCGAGGAGTAGTCGTCGGGTCCACACACAAGGATTTCCTCCCGCCAAAGATCTGGCCTAGGAGCTGTTGTACGAGATCGCATTGGGTCGCAAGACGCAGCTTGCCATGTCGGCCAGCAGAGTCATAGCATCGCGCCACTGACTGCCTGACGACAGGGGCGATCTGTGGAGACGGAGACGGGGACGAGAGTGGAGCGCCTCGCGCAAGTGAAGCAATATCACGGGTGCGCTCGATGACGGCCGATAGCTCCTTCCTCAGACTTGCGAAGCGCTGACACGCCGACTGACAAAGGTGCTGGAAGTGAAACTGTGGAAAACTCTGCCCACAAACGCGTCACATCTCAAGCTTCTCTTCATCAACCTCATCGTATGCAAAAGAAGCTCAGGTTTCGGCCTGCTGGCCGTCTGCGAGAAATCCGTTTCCCAAGGCGCCTGGCAGACCTTGCAGGCATCTTCTGCCAACATTGCAGCAGCGTCAGCCTTGTCGGAGCGGCCTGCACGGCCGACATGGCGGAAGGCACAAGGGCGAAGAAGGTGCAGCCAACGCTTCGTGATGCTTTGTGTTTGCATCCGATCGGGGGTACTCTACTTCAAATTGTGCAAGAACGGTCACCAATGGAAGACAAGCCAATGGAAGATCTCGAATCTTCACCGCCACACAACGCAGCACGAGTGATATAGAGCCGAGGCCGACTTGGTACAGTAGTCGAGCATGGGCAGGGCCGCCCTCTCAGTATGCACCTGCTTACGAAAAAGCCGCGAGCCAAGAGTACAGGGGAGTCTGAGATTGTAGGATATCAAAGTCGCCGCAACCGTGTCTGTCGAGTCCAGTCGAGTGGAGTGAATCTTCTTTGCGTCCGTCGCCGGCGAAACTGATGCATGACAGGCAAGTTTAAACTTAACAGCTTATAATCCCTGTGCAAACCTGAATGATTCAGACGAAGTCTTGGAATGGCTGATTCGCACACCACCAGAACATAACCCAAACAATCCTTGTCCCTACAACCCACCATGCGCTGGTTGACTGAGACTGTACACTATAGCCTTCCTCAACTCAGGTGCACCAAATTCGTCGAGGCGAGCAGCCTCAAGAAATGAGGCTCTGTAGTAACAGCGTGACCAGCAACTGTGAATCACAAGAGCCACATGCGCAGAGCTGAAAACTTATATGCTCAAGTCAACACACACATTTCATATCGTCTACACAGAGGGGAGGGAGAGAGAGTGAGAGGGAGGGAGCACGCGCATACTGCCTGCATGGGTATGTAGATATGCATGCAGGCGCATGCAGTCTCAAATGAAGTTATGGCTTCTGGGGCACATCCTGCAGAAAACGGCAGTGGTGGCCACAACTCGCTCTGTTCACGATTTTATCTTCGCCTTTGCGGTGCGCCTTGGACGTATGCGCTTCGAGCAAAGCAAACTGCTTAGGTGGCAGATGCATGAAGGGCGCGAGCGATGCTTTGCATCGCAGGCATGCTCCTTCGTCTCCACCCAATAAGCCAATAAGTTTAAAATAGTTGTTGATTCCCGCGCGTCCTCACGGAAAATACTGCGCGTCGCGTAAGACCCAAAATTCTACCTGCAAACCTGATTGACCAGGTGTTGCTCACTTCGATCGTGTGAGATCAGGTCCTCAGCCAGGCACGCTGAGACGCTTTGCTAAGTTTGCACACGACCAGTCAATACCTCTGTTCATCTTAGCGCCAAGTGTCATTCTGCATGAGGAACCCTGAAACCCGGTGAACGAAGGATGGGCAGGTGTGGTTCAGCTCGTGCATGCTGACCCTGGCAATCAGTCCAGCTAAATGCAGAGCAAGGGCGAAGACCGAAATGCATCTCGAGCTCAGCTTCTGGATGCTGCATTGGCGACACGACACTACTGCGGTCGCAGCCCTCGGTCGGCCTCAACACCGGCACATGCATCTTCTCCACTTGCTTCAGATCTCGCTCGATGAGCCTGCCATCGCTATGGGAGGGTACCGGCATGTTGTGCACGCAGGGATTCTGTAAGGCTTGCTTGTCTAACAAGCTACAGGAAGATTCCGAAACATCATGAGCTAACTTAACCGAACCAGCTATCTCAAGCTTCGAACCGGAGTCATTTCGTAGCATCATGGTGAAGAGTCCTTTGAAAAGCCTTATGCTCAACCTGGTGCAGGTGCCTTTGGAAGCCACGCTGGCTGTTTTTGGACTCCGCCAAGCCGTGCCTTTTGTGCAACTATCAGCTGGCTCGTTCATTACATATATTGCGTTGAGTCTACACAAAAGGAGGGAAAGAAAGACAGAGCTTCCAACGAGAGCCGTGATTCTTGAAGAGCCATGGAAATCTGCGGAACATCGAGTCTGCACGATCTGTCTGGTCCTGAGTGCACTTGCATGCCGAACTCATGATTGCACCCCGTGGACATCGTCCCGAACAGGAAGTTGAACACATCCGTTGAGAAGACTTGCGAACATCAAAGGTCACGGACATAACTCGCCGAGGTCATGCATTTGACAATAAGGTTTGGTTGGCCAAGCTAGCACAGACGGTTTCCAGACGCCCACTAACAATTGAGACGGAGCGCGCGCTCATACTTGATCACCGCTCTCCTCGAGACACCAGCTTCTTTCAGCATCTGATAGAGCCTGCGCTGCGTGACGAGGCTGCACTTCTGGCTTGAAGCTTCCTGCACCGATCACGCAGAAGAGCTCCTACCGTCTTTCCTCAAGATCGCACTGGTCGCTGAGCCTGCCTATGACGATCCAAACTTACGAGAAAGCACGCAGGGCTATTTTCATGCGCCCTTGTTCCTACACCCCGCATCTACCTGCTGAGACCTGAGTCGCAAAGGAAAGAACCCTGTCTCGTTCGAGGTGCTTCGTAAGGTCGTAGATCTTGTCGCTGCGCTGTCGTTCCTCAAACCCTGTTGGAAAGCCTCGGGTGCGGTAGCAGCTTTGTGCAACGGGTGTCTGCAAGGGGTCACAGGCCTGCAAGCACAGAGGCCACACAGGGAATAGTATGTAGCAGCCAGGGAGCTGTACTCTTGCTGCAGCAAGGTGTTCTGCCGGTAGGTTTGCAAGGCCCTCTTGAAGCCACGCAGGTCCTGCGCCTAGGAGCAGCCGAAGGCGCAGGCGAAGGCTCTGGCACAGCTGCTCACGGCTCTGAACTTCGACCGCGCTGGAGCGCGGCATTTTGCAAGCAGAAGTTGCGTCCGAGGCTCGAGGAAGGCCGTCAGGAGTTGGCCTACACATACGATTGCAGAATGCTGCCCTCCTGAGTTAACCTCCTCACGAATTGATGCAGAACTTCTTTTTGGCACCCTCTGCTCTCTGCCTGTCTCCTCCCCGTTGAACATGAAGACCTGGCTCTCGTTCGTCTCCTGGGTTCCGTTCATGACCGCGAAGGAGTGCGCCCTGTGCTCGCTGATCCTCAGCAGAGTGTATGCCAAGAGGGCGAAGTCATCAAGGTCAGGTGAAGTTCAGGACCATGGGGACCATGCCGGTCCCACCGAGCGACCTCATCTGATCGTCATGTCCACCAGCGATGCCTTGTGACACGCTCAGCAAAGCAATGCAATATGTGAGCAGCCCCTCAAGCGTGACGGATTCTGCGGTGGTTCTTCAGGGCTTCGAGGTGCCTACTGCTACTTTGCTGATGCTGCATAGGCATCGCCCTCGACAAGACAACCAATGCCCTTCGGGCGATCAGACGCTGAGTTCCGGGGCTCCCTCGGAGGATGCACCCCCTCTGGAGTTTGTGGCAGGTCGGCAGCTGGAGTCAATCAAGCTCCAGGAACAATGGACGAGGCCAAGGCATGTGCTGCACTGAATCGCCCTCACCTCTGCACACCAATTGCTGGTCCCGTCACCGAGGATCTGATGAATCGCAGGTGTCAGCGAATGATGCCCGGATCCTCGAACAAAGAAAGCACTGACATACACAGAATCACCAGGCGCTGTGTCCCTCAAGCTTCTGTTCTGACGGTCACTATGACAAGATAGCACCAGTAGATACCAGTAGCCAAGTCGTCCGACAGTTGTCCAGCCTTTGTCGCAGTCGCAGTTGTGTCGACTAAGCTCGCGAAGACCCTGAAACCTGATCCCCCCGGCCCAGGCATGCTAAGCCAGTCATTTTACAACTATGGAAGCTCGCTCGCAAGTCCTTCATTGCCAATGAGGGACAGGAACCGAATGTTACTTGCCTTAGGCCCCGTCATTGCAACTGTGCAAAAGCACTTGTCAATGCGGAGTAGCTGTCTTGCACTGGAGGCATTCTGCTTATGCGGCCTGCGCTGAAACCTGCCTGCTACAAGGGAAATCTTCATCAGCATATCAAGGCAACATACGACGTTAATGTCGTTGCATGCAAAGTCTGGCCCTTATCCAGAACATACGAACCAGACTATTTTCGGAATCTGGCTGGCACGAGCAACACTGCTTGTGGACAAGGCGAGGCACGTGTTGCGAGTGTGTGGCGCGTGCTCCTCGCAGGTTCAGCTGGCAAGTCTTTCGAAACGCCCCTTAAAATGACCCAAGCCACACGAACATCCAGCTATGATGTGCATGCGATCCATGCAAGCCTTCTTTGTGAATCAGTGCGCGGCTAGGCCCGCATGCCAGAAAAACTGCCAAGGAGAGCAGCTTCGACATGATCACGGGATATGTAGTAGTATAGATACAGTTCGCTGTCAGATCTCGAGCCAAGATGGTCGGAGTAACACGCCACACATTCACCTTCTTTCATCTAACACGGCCAAAGGCATTCCACGATTGCTCGTGACATGCACGACATAACACCCTCACAGGCATGGCCTCAATTGGATCAAGAGAAGATCCCCGAAGAGACATGCAACCTGGCATGCAGTCCAGAATGCTTGAAAGATGAAGCGGTCAGAGGTTCCCACAGGGAATCTTTGCTTGCCCCCACCTTGTGGTCCCCTCTCCGGTGACTCCCGCTTAGCGAGGCCCGCCCCCCCCCCTCCCCGCCCCCCCACCGCCTCTTGTATTTTGGTGCAAAGCTTGATTCCCCCGTACATGTCGCAACGCTTTAAAATCCGGTCATAACGTCTATGCGCTAATGCATGCAGGGAATGTGCCACCTTTATCGCGGGATTATTGCTCAGAGCCTCAGCATTAACACAAATACTCACATCAATAGAATATAGAATATCCTGAGAAGCTAACGCAGTCATTCATTGCGACCTCGCCTGTGTGACCTACCTCTGGCTTTCCGAAGCAAGGCACCTGCTTCGAGTACAGTACAGCCGGGCCGAGGCGGACGACGCGAAGCCTTTAAAATCACTACGCCGGGTCAGATGCTAAGTTGCGCTGATGTGGTGCAGATGCCGGTGTAACGATGCTTCCCGCTCATTAAAACAACTCGGCGGTCCGAGAGATCTCGCCGGACAGGCACTCAGATCTCAGTCTGACGGAGTGACGGGCACTCAACAAACGGAGCCTCGGTATGCCCTTCTCCGGGTCTGTTGCCATGTGTCGACCCTGGGCTGCACATTCACAGAGAGCGACTCCGAATCGTCCCCTGGCCTGCCGTTGATGAGGAGGAGTCACTGCCCTGCTCTCCACGTCCCAAGCGAGTATGTTCCTTGGCACGGAAGCTTCGAACAGCTGCGTTGGGACCAGACCGATGTCCGGTCCTAATTTTCTGACGGGCAAGTGTGTCAACTAGAGTTGTCGCACCCGGAGCGAGCTTCCTGTGAACATTGTGAACACGCACCTATGTAGCGGAAATGGCCACATGAGGACGCAGCCCATGACCGTTTCGGTTGCGGGAAGAGAAGTTCTCTCGCTGCTGATCCGCCTCAACGGCGTGAGAAGGTGTCAAATGCTGAGCTCAGGTCTGTTGAGTTTATGCTTTCGGGACTCGTTCAGGTGCATGCCAAGGGCGTGACACACAACGTGAAGGAGATAGAAAAGATTGCACCAAACCGCTGCACTTACCTAGCCCACCTCTTCACAGTTCAGAATTGATACGCAAAGCGGTTGGCAAGCCTCGCTTGTAATGCTCTGCGCAGCAGAGATGACACCTGGGCCGGTATTGCTCGCGCTTTCCGCGCCTAAGCGTCTTTTCTCGGGAGTCTGTTGAGCGATTATCGAACACAATACCACGGTTCAGAGATCTGATTGCCTGAAACATGATTGAGGAACGCGACTGACCTCGACCCCTGCGACACACCACTGCCTTCTGGCCCTCACATGCTCTCAACTTGCGAACAAACGACGACAACTGAGATGATTCCGACTATGGATTGCTTCTGAGGCTGGAGCTGACAGAATCTGGATCCGGTCGAGAGTGAGGCCTGTGTTGAACATGCTCGGTCTCACTTTCTGCATGCTACACACGCGCAGTGAGAGAGCTTTTAATTGCATGGCCCATGCCCACTGCACGTCGCATGAGGCAAAAGCCGATTCAGAGGATACGCGATCTTTCGGCCAAAGATGTCAACCTCGCAACGGACTGTCTTCAAAAGTTTGCTCAGCCGCATGTCGGACTGCATTCTATCAAAATGCCAACGGGCCTGCTGTTCCGGCGTAGAAGGACCAGGGCTTGCAGCGGCATGCCCCTGACGGCCCTGTCAGACTTTTGCTGTCGCCTAGCCTTGGCTACCGTACCGGGGGGGACTCACCATTCCTACCGCAACCACCATGAATCATGATTCAAATAACGATGTTCCTGCCGGCCCCAGTTCACATGAAGGGTCCGTCTCCAAGCAGTTTCTCTCGTCCTCTGCCGTTGCAGCATTCGGCGATTCACGCTTGGTCGGGCCTCTTGTTGAGCGATCGACTCTTCAGGCAGGCGGCCTGGCGGCAGAGCAGCAGAGCATTGCTGGAGGCTGGTGTGCCACAAGCCCAGGCCAGGAATGCCAAGCCGTGGAGGGCCATTCCTCAGTCTCGCTGGTCCACGGTGAGGAAACAGGGGAGCCCTCCAACCCAGGTTTCTGTCCGACACGAAGCTACAGGCCACGTGCCGTCGACAACACGGACTTTGCAAGAGGACTGGGCATATCACTGCAGCTTGAAAAGATTCAAGAAACGGTTCCCTGAAACCCAAGGTCAAGCCGCAAGAAATCATTTCTGAGGCAGGAGCAGCACAGCATTCTCAGTTCGGGTGTTGAAGTGCCTTCACCGACGATCAGTCGGGTTGGGGCCAGGTTGTTCTGCGTGCAGTCCCTTGTTTTCTGGTGCCTGGCCTGCGTCCGCCGCGCGAGAAACCATCCAAGCCTTGTCAGTCTGTCAGGGTAGAGCAGAAGCGATCAAGACGTCTCCGCAGCCAGCATCGTCAAGTGTGCACTTTACAGCCATGCCTAGCGAGGGGCGACCAGCTGCAGACGCCTCACCAACATGCCACTTTGTTGAACCCCCGGAGCCTGGACTCCTGGATGACATGAATGAAAACTGTGCTTACCGCACACACAATGTGCATGCACTTGGTCATGACAGATCAGCCCCAGCTAAGAAGCGCCTCCGAGCCAGCTTCGCTTGGTTCGTAAGCTGACCTGTCTGCGCGAGCTAGCATGGCCCGGCGTAGTTTCTCGGAGTGAGGCTCGTGCCCTGCATAGGAGCTGGCGGCATAGATGCAGGAGCCCCCTGTCTGCCTGCAGCAATGACCGTCGGAAACATGGACCACCTTCCTAGAAATTTCAAGACCTCAGAACGACGATGGCTATCAGCAGGCGAGCATCTCACAAAAAGTCCGCTGAGCCTGGCGGCCGTGTTGTGCGCATCGCGTCGGAGTGCTGACATCAACTGGCAACGTGTTGGCCAGCACGAAGGGGCTGACCATGCTGGACATGCGGTGTGTTGCGGCAACAGCGTCAGGCAAGGCAAAAAAAAAGCAAGCCTGTTGGAACCTTCCCCCTGGCCGGGAGCACCGAAGCAAACTTCATGGTACGCGCGGACAGATGCTTGTTGATCAATCGAAGGAACCTGGGTCCGAGATTTCGCGCTGGAGGATTTGGGCCGATTCAGCGGTGGCAGGAACTGCTGATCCGAAGTTGCTTGACTCAAGAACTAGCGTCTGAGTCGGAAACTCGCTCTCGGGATGACTGATATCCACGCCTCCCGTCTGAACAGATCCAGGCTTGTGGGCTCTCAACATGCTTTAGGAGCAATGTGCCACACACCATGTATCCGGCCTGTGCCCAGTAGCCGCTGCATATGCCCCTGCCGACAGGCAAGGTCTCGTGCAAAGTGAAGTGCACGCGTGTGGGCATGTTTCAAATTTTTTGGCTGGCAGTTAGAAAACTGAGGAAAAAAACGCGTCAGCTGGCAACTCAGGTACTCCTCTACCTGTGCAAGATCGCATCATCCCGTGCTGCGCATTTCGAAAAGCTTCCCGCTTGATCACTGAAAACGTAGGAGTTGTGGCGTAGCTTCCTTCAGACAGAACCTGAAACAAGCCTTGAAACGCAGAGATCAACACCAACATACCCAACCTGGAAGGCCGGATTTGTCAACTGGTTGCAATCCTCGGCAGATGGGCGGGTTCTCTTCCAGGACGTCGATTTGTCAAAAGTGACGTGAGTGGGATATTTAAGCAGCAACACAACATTGGCAAGATTTGACGAGCATGCAGGATGACAACAAAGGAAGGAGCAACAGGCTTGAAGAGTTTGTAAAATCGCTTGAAGCCTGATGCTTCATGATGCCTTTTCGTAACTAGCCTAACTGGCCTAGCTCCGATTCCTGCGGCGCTCTGGCGGTGCTGCTCCAGATGCTATTGCAGCGAAGACGCGCTGTCCCGACCCGCACTGGGGGCTAAGGCAGCAGCCCACTGGAAGAAGAGACGTTGAATTGAGGGTCCGCACCTGCATCGAGGCAGCATCCTTTCGTCTGCCAGGCAGGCTGCTTCTCGCAAGACCGCAGCGACCCCATGACCCTTAGAGCTCCGCAGCCCTGGGGCGTGCTTTTTCAAGCAGTACGCCTTCAAACACGTCTATTTGCAATGTGAGTGATTTCAACTAATATTTACGTTGGATTTGCGGATATGCCTGTGATCAAATCATGCTAGCTAGATTGACTGACAATCTAACTTATAGTTGACTGGAATACCTGAATACATCAACGAATGAAGTGTCGTCGATATTCCTGCTTATATGCACTGATAGCATTGAAACAAAACAAACAGCTTAACGAATTAAAACATCAATGTCACACACAAAAGCGCGACGAAGGAGATATGAAGCTGAAACAGCGGCCACCAACGGGGATCAGGGAAGTGTTCATCAGGTGGTGCGCAAAACAGCTCCCTGGAAACCCAGACAAAGGGTCATGATTAAGGATGCAAGTGGAAAGCTGCTTACGAAGCAGCAAGAACATGGCCCACTGGTAGAGGTTAGCCGTGATCGTTTCGCACCGGAGACGGCGCAGCCGGACAGGAAACACCAGGCGTGTCCCAAAAAGGTTGAGCACCAGCTTCGGGTGATCAAATAGGAAAGGCAGTACCGCCAGACACGGCTCCGGCCGCCATCTGGCGGATCGGAGCGGAGCACATCGCTCCCATCCTCAGGGAGGCTTTCGTGCGGTACACAGAGAAACCGCGCGTAACTGTTGGACGACGCTTTCATAGTTTGGCTCGCGAGACCGAACAAAATCCCCAACAAACCGTCTGCTCTTAGGCCTATAGGCTTGATGTGTCTGAAAGCGACGGCTTTGGCCAGCATCCCGAAGGACGGACGGACAGGCTTTAGCAGCTCATACAGCCCCGGCTGGAGTGGGAGCCACAATCTGCTTACCAAGCCAGGATCTTCAGTCCGAGACGAGTCCAACTGGATACTTGCACGCCATGCGTGCCTCTGCCAGAATGCCTCGTCGACGACCTGCTACAGATCCAAACAGTTGGGAATGCAACTGTGAGTCGACTTCCTCGCCTCTGCAGGGAGATCTTGGGTTTGCAAGGCCTGGCAAGATTCGTCTCACAACACGCGCTCCCGTGCTTTAAGGCAAGCTTCTTTCCGCAGCCCGAATTCTCGGAGCAGGCTTCAAGAATACTAAGCACTCGGAACTGCAGTCGTCTGCTGCTGTCAAGGCTGGTTACGCTGTGCAGGGGCCTCCTTGGTCGGAATTGCTGCCCTTGGCGAAGGCTGCATCGCCGCGGGCCTGTGGTCATGAATGGCTGGTGCAGCGGCTGCAAGATTTATTGATACTCTCGGGAACACCTTGACCCTTGCCAAAAACGCTTGGGACAAACTTGGAAAACTGACCAGCTCGAAGCAGCTGCGGCCGGTGCAATGCAGGCCTTCGTCAACGATGGTTTAAGCATGAGTCGAGCTACCTATCTTTACCATTCTTTACCTCCTGATGGTATGCTGATGAATATCCCGACCCGTGCGGCTTGCACTGCGCTTCAGCTTCGGCCCTCCGCCCGGCAACACTTGACGGCTTGCGGGCTTGGCAGTTCGGACTTCGGGGTGCAAACACCCAAACAGCATAAACATGATGACTGTGGGGATTGTTCTTCAGTTCAAAGTTGATTGACTGACGATGGTAGCTACTGGTAGTTACACAAGACAGGTTGGAAGCTTCCGCGGTGACAACGCACAAGCCGATGCACGTGGTGCTAATGCAGGAAACTGATTAAGAAGCCCTTGATTCTGTCCACAGAAGATCACGGAAGCACCTGCAGCACGAAACCTGCCCAACCCGTGACAGGCTTGCCTCTCATCGGTCGGGCTCATACCCGAAGGCGACGTCGGAAATGGGAAGTGTGAGCTTCCTGCAGCATGGCATTTCTAAGCTGAGGCCTTTGGCCCTGCAAATGCTGCTGTGCACTCGCAAGTTACAACTTCAAGGCCACTTTGCGCTCGCCCGAACGAGCTCTCTCAGCTGCCAAAGAGACCGCACCTCCTGGTCTTGGTCCAGCATCGATTGCAGCCGTGTTCTGCAAAGCTGGGATCAGCTTGACTCAAACCGCACGGCTGGAAGAAGGGCCTTAATTAATTCACGGCACCTATAGCGGATTGAATGAAAGCGTACCGAGGCTGCGGTCCAAGACCGAAACAGTCTTCTGGAGGGCAGCATAAAGAAACGACAGGACCTGCAAAGGGTCCGGATAGCCAGATGATGTCTGGGCAGCATCCTCCACCATGTCTCCTGCGAATAATAAGCCGCGGCCGAAGACTTAAGCTGCGATGCATGATCTGAGCACCCGAGCTTCGATCTGGGGATGTCATGGAAAAAATCGCGAGACGCAGAGCGACGACCGCACGAGGCAAGAATCGAAGAGAAGAGCGAAGAAAGCGATTTTCTCTTTTGCACCTCTGGCGACGCCGTAGCCCGGTGCCGCTGCTGGGGCTGGCGCTTGCCTGCAGGCCACCCATGATGGAAACGCTGACACGGAAGTTCGGTTCTCTCGCAGCAAGAGCATTGTTGCTTTCTCGCGGGCACGAGCCTTTAGAAAAGTCGCTTCTTGGCCGTGCTGCCTTGCGTTCCAGACCTGCGCTCTCTCTTGGCCCCCCACGTCTCGTTGTCTTCTGTCGCCTGCAAAGCCTGGCGACAAACCAGTCCACAAAGTGCCACGAGCTGTCTGACTAGCTTGGCCGCTGATTGTCTGCGCCTCCATGAGCGGAGCATAAGTGAAGCAGCCCTTGCCTTGGGTCATCGACGGGCACAACGGACTTGACACCACTAGGAGAACCAACTAGCAGAACCTGTGCCCATGCTGAAAGATACCACCACCAGCCTACCAGTGGCCGACCCAAGAAACGATGGTTCCTACACTCCCACCTAAATGTCTATGGAAAAGGAAAGGCGAGGCAGGTTCTTATCAACCAAACCGAACGGGTTTCGGTAGCTAACCTGCCCAGACTGCCAAAACAGAGGCGTCTGATATCTTTGTCACCCCACGCAGCATTACAAGCGTACGACCCAACTCGAACTCCAAGTAAAACTCCAAATGAAATTGCGAACAAGTAGGCCCGATACTTGCGACTACTTAGTGACCTGGCGTGCTTTGCCAGCCTGTCTCAGCTTTTCCGGCTCAGGACCAGCTGCTGAAGGGCTCCACAAAGTCCATCAGAAAGCAAGCAGCATCGCTGTCCTCCTGCACAAATCTTGCTTTAGTCGAACAGCGACTTGGGCTGATCTCATCCTAGTGGTACAGTTCTTTGCGATCACGAGCCGACCACAGCAGACCATCGTACCGCAGGGCAGTCCGACAACTCCAGCTCTTGAAGAAGCTCTCGCCTCAGAGCCACAGACATGGACATGGAAAGAAGGTAACCACATCAAGAGAACAGCGGCTGAACCAAGTGCTGGAAACTTTGTGCGGTCCTCTTGCTTGTCAATGCTAGACCTAGACGGTTACCTGGATGTCAATGTGTCAGAGTTTGCCGTGCATGTCCTGACTGAACTCGAAAACATCGCAGTCATGAGTCATGCTGGCTACTCGGAAAGGCCTCTGCACTTCTTCTCCAGAAGCAACAACCCATGAAAGCAGACTGAGCAGGGATATGACTGAAAATCGGGTAAGAGCCCTGCCAGCAGCCAACTGGCAGAACAAAGTCCCCCTGCAAACAGTCTCGTGGGAAACATTAGAAGAAGAGCTCGGCCATGGCTCCAGAATTAATTTAGGAATTTTCGTTTTTGTCCGCCGAGCAGGTTGTCTCCAATACAGCAATGGCTCAGGAACACGGTGTGGGTGGGCGAGTACGGCGAGTATGGGAGAAAAAATCAACTCGTTTCTAACACATGCTTTCAAGTTCCCGTGCTTGTTTGAGCCACTTGTGTGAGACAAAATCCTTTGAGGGCATTTTTCGCATCCGTCACAAAATACGACGGGCATCTCAGGCACATGCATGAAGCTTGCTTGAATTTCCGGTCATGACGTTCTGGTGCCGGGCATGCCGCTCGGTGACGACATCCGTCTCTTCTGCCCATGGGATAAGCACACCGGAATCCCGGCTCAAGTGTAACGGCTGCACATGGGACACGTTCGGGTGGATCCCATGCTATGTTCAAGATCACTCTGTGAGGCGCTATCTCAAAACAGCCTGGGTTGATGCCATACCACTTCCGCGATCATTCTTTGATGCGCTCTTCTGTCAAGCAGGCAAGAAGGGCGCTCAAGCCCTTCCACGCGCGAGCGCGCACTGGATTGTTGTGTCTGTGATGCACTCTCAGTCTCTACCAATATATATATATATATATCTCTCTCTCTCTCTCTCTCTCTCGCTCTCTCATGTCCTCTGAGTGCCATCATGATCCATCATGATCCATCATGTTCCACATGCACTGCTGTGTTCCGTAACAACAGTTGAACCAGTACGCACAGGCTGTGGCTGCTTTAGGCAGTTCGTCAACTTTTGTGGCTTCGGGAGAATCAGTGCCTTATATACGTTCATGCCACAACGGCAAGTACCGACACATCTTCCTCTATGTCATCTCTTCCCGTCCGCTTTCTTTGGATATTGGGCTCAGACCGGCCGCAGGCAAGATCTGACTTTTCTTATCGTAGCATGTGTCAGTAAGTCCATGCACGACCGTTACAGTAGATCAAGCAGTGGTTCGGCATGCTGGCTGGGAGCCTGGAAAGTCCGTCCGAGCACCTACTCAGTACTAGTGTTGAATTGGGCTTGGAAGAGGCTCTACCTCGACCTGCCCTGCCGTGCTCACCACCGAGCTCTCAAACTACTAAGCCTTACTAATCTGAGCTCTCAAGAGACCGAACTCTTCTGTTGCCCGGCCTTTTCGTCCATGGACCTAGGCCATCCAAGAAGAACAAAGAAGAACTTGCATCTACTATTGCCTAAGCGATTGCGACAGGTGCCACTGACTCCAATCTACGGTCAAAGGTAGGGACAAAGATCACGTTACACGGACCACAAAAATCAGTCAGGGTCCACATGAACTGAACGACACATCGCCGCAGCGAGGCAGCAGTAACCCTTGCCACACTTCGTCCTAGTGTCTCGGCCACGTGACTGCAGCACGCGACATGCTGCAAGCAAGAAGTCCTGGTGACAAAACTCAGGGATTCATGAGAACGAGCGGGGCTGAGCAGCAGCAACGTTCAACTCTCCTCCACACAGCTGCTATGGGACTCTTGACCACATTGCCGATTTCGAGTGGCAGTCACAAGTTCATGCTTCGAGTCGCAGCCCAGAGGCTTAACTCTATGGGGGACTCCTTTTTCTGCACTAGAGTCACCACACGCCAATGCGAGAATGACGGCCCGGCACCTCCTCGGCAGGAGTCATCGCAGCTGCAGCCCCACTGCAGGCAGTGCGTCGACTTAGGACGTTCGATTCTTCTGACAAAGCCTCTGAATTTTCGATCCATCAGCGTCGTGAATCCGATGCCTTGCTGCCCTAGTTAGCCCTAGTTCTATCGTGGAGCGTGTCAGTGCCCTTCTTCCGCTAGCTGGAGCAACACCGGCACATACCGGCACATTGCAGGTCGGAAGGCACACCCGGACATTCAGCTTCAATGGTCATCACGGGTGTCTCTTGCTTCGTTTTGCTACGTAAAAGCTCGCAATCGCAGCACTGCCCCGCAGAATCCGTGAGTGACTACACTGTGCGGCGCTGAAGATTTCGCACAACACAGGCTAACCGGCTAATCTTGCCTAATCCTCTTCTCAGCTGCCCGAGACAGAGACTCCAAGTTTTTTGGTGCCCAACATCAGTCAGTAGCCACAGCATGTCTCCCAGCGACGCACATCTTTTTGCAAATTCGCAAAGGCTAGCGATGATCTGCACGCTGCAACGAAACTCTTGCAATCATACAAGGCATCCGCAAAAGTGCTTGCGCATCTCAGGCGGAGCGGCAAACCTTAGCAAAAAGCTTTCTAAATTTGACAGCATCGTGGGGGCGGCTGGGCAAGGATGTGTGTTAAGCCCAAATTCTTGAATCCTTGGGCGAGTACCAGCCAAGGCTGCCGGCTGCCAGCTCTTCACTGATACTGGCCTCGTGGATGGAGTCGTCTCGCAGGCCAACCGGGAAACAGATGAAACGGTTACTCAACCGCTCGACGACATCCACCTTGATGCGCATGAATGACATGCCGTGACTAGATTCGCACTGGCCTTGGCCTTAAGGTGGTCTCTGCAGGGAGTTGAGTGCCTGGCCTGCGGCTTCGGCAGCCTGAAGGCGCGGAGCGAAATAAGAGGGGAGCAAAAGTTCTCTGCGATTCAACGCGCGTCGCGCAACACCTGCCCGCCTCTTTGCCGCACACCCGCTAAGCTCAACTTGCCGGTACAAATCACCCCAGAAAAGACTAAGCGCTGCACGAGGTTGCCCCAAGCACTCGGGACTTCCTTGAAAAAGTCTATGCTGTGCACAACAACACGTGTGCGCCGCCCTCCCTTCGGGTGGGCTTGGCCACACCATCGTGCGGACGGCTTGGCAAGATCACTTCAGCAGCTGAAGTAACTAAAATAGGTTACCACCGAGGCGAGTGGCTTGAGCTGCAGCTCGACTTGACGTGTCTGAAGCCTTGAGCCATATTATTATACCTATGTGTCTGGCTGAGCAGCAACTCCAAGAAACAACATCAGCACTAACTAGCTTCGGGCAGGAAGTCAGCAAGCATTCTATGTAGAGCAGGCTTCACCTGGAAGGACTGTTGGGACTGCCACGAATAAAGTGGACTGCTGCCTAGCTAGCTTTTATCTGGGCTGGTCCGGGTCCCGGTTTCCGGAAACCATTACAACACAGGCTCGCAGCTCAAGGATGCTCAAAGCCCCGGCCGGCAAGACAAATCCCGTTGAGTCATCCTTGGCGAGTCGCAGAACTGCGCGACCTGTTCAGTCACGGTTTGGGCCATCACAAGAGCTCGTCAGCCTCAGGCGGCAAGATTCATGCTCTCGCGGCACATGCCAGGCTGATCCACTTCTGCCACTCACGCCTCTGCGCTTCCTGGAAGGATGCTCATCAGCTTGCCCTCCCGCCTGCAGCTCTGCTGATTGAAGCTTGCTCCGTCCAGTCCTCCCTGGCTCCCTCCTTATCCTCCTTCTAACACAAGGCGGCTCACTTCTTGCAGACTGGTTGGGTGTCACACAGACCCGCATCATTGCTGTGAAGCTGAGTGAGCTCACACGGATACCACACAAGAAGTCTACAATACGACTCGGCATGTCCAAGCCGCAGAGTCTGGGACCTGTCTGCGGCCACGCTCCCGACGCCTCCAAAAAGCGAGTGCTAGCAGCCCTGAGACGTCCGAGGTTCTACCCTCGCGTTCACCGCTTGCAGCTAAAGATTACGGTGACATGCAGGCCTGGTTGGGCCGCGGCAGAGCCAGTGCAATGAAGCAGAAGCTTGAGGGCGCCCAGTTGTGAGTGCCTTGCAGCATGCGACAAGGAAACCCACAGCTTCTTCAGTGTCTGGCACGCTAATTCATTGACAACCCAAACGAAGCTACTCATACGGGGACGCCCTCAACGTGCGGTGAAGACTGACAGGCAACACCAGTGGGCCAAGCCCGCAGCACAACCAAACTACGTGGAAATAACCGGGCTGCAGGATTTCGATGGTCCCATCAATGTAATCGAGTTGGTTCGGTGCCCACTGGACCTCAGCCAAGTGCGACACGATCGGCTGTCACTCCACAGAGCAGGTGCATACAAATCACAAGGGCCGTTCATCATGCAAGCAGGGGGCAGCAACTTGGGCGAAGCTGAACAGGCTCCTTAAAGCAACAGTAAGAGCCCACATGAGCATTGATCGTTCCATGCATGCAAGCGACATGGCAAAGAACCTTGAACACTTGCATGACACATCATACCGGAGATGTTGTCCTTTCTTTGGTCTTCGAAAAGAGCTCGTAGGATTTGCTGGGACAGATCCCGGCGCTCGACAGCGGGACTGAATCCAACTAGACTTCTTGCAGAGAGAGAACTGCAAGCTCGGAAGGGCAAGCATGCGCATGCCGAGCAGGGAGTGTGCACGAGAAGCACTTTGTGAAAGTAAGGCTCGGCTCTGCCGTAGGGTCGACGTGGCGGGCAGCCTGGATCCACATGTCGCTAAGTGTGAAGGGTTGTTAAGTTATCTGTATGGTCACATCTGTCTGTGTGTGTGTGTGCATATGCATGTGCCGGTAGTCTATGTAGCAATGGTTCTGTCGATCCGTTCGTCTTGTGGCTTCAGGTTTGCTTGCGCAAAATCTCGCCAGCCTAAGCGAGTCGATTGCCAAGCATGCATGAGGTCCAGTGTTGCTTGCTGACAGTCTCTTGGACGTTGCAGCAGCTCCACGCAGGAGCTTTTCACAGTCACTGTCAACCCCAGAGTTTCGACAAGACTGTGCAGTGGATAAGTAAGGGGGTCAAGCTGGCGTGAATCCTTGAAATCTCTGCGTCTCATCCCAGTGACACATCCCTGAGTTTTTTCGTCTGCCTCAATGGCTAGGCATTCGCAAGACCCCCAACAAATCGATCCAAAGCTGAATGAGAAAGCCCCTCTACACCGAGAGAGGGCAGCCTCGAGAACTTCGCGCAGGAGCTCTGTCCCTGTATTGGGAAACAGCGCCGCAAGAGGCATTCCTTTTTTGGCAGATCAGAAAGCTTGGGACCGAGGACAATACCCCTTATCACAGAAAAGCTGCAGGCAGACGGGTTGCCAACCAAGTTGGCCGCCGGAATTGACGCGCACTCCACAACCCAAGCTGCCAGATCCAGCTGGAGGCAGATTATTCCTCATTCAACGGAATTCGCCACGAATGACCACAACAAAATCAGAGGAATGATAACAAGGGTAAAAGAGTTTGACTGAAACGTGTATGAACTTGGCTAAATAGAGTCACGTTGGGATCATCATGCGCGTGATTGCTTCAATTCTACTTAGTATAGCCGACAGCTCCAGGAGCGCTCGTTGTCGCTCGTCCAATATCAAAGATGCAAAACCACTTCGTTCATTGTTTGGAGGTCAAGTTGTTACCACGACACGGGCGCAGGTTTGTTTAGCCACGACAAGGAAAAGTGTTACCATGAGAACAAACTGCGTAAAAGTTTGACAAGGAAAACCACAGAACGCCCCCACAAAAAAAAAAAAAAACTGATATTCGGAAGCCTGACCCGAACGCCCCAACCAGGTTCGGGACCCGCAAACTGATTTCTGGGAAACTCGACCCGAACAGCCCAAAACCGATTTCTGGACCCGAAAGTGATTTCTGAGAAGCTAGTCCTGCCGAGGTACCTGACCCGAATGGCCCAGAACCAGTTCGGGGACCCGAATCTGATTTTTGGGAAACGTGACGCGAATGTCTCAGAACCAGTTTGTGGAACCGAAACTGATTTTGGGGAAACCTAACCCGAACGCCAAACCAGCTTGGGACGGACTTGGAAGCCGAACTGGGAAGCCGAATGCTAAACCCTCGCAAAGATGCAGCGCAGCATGCCTCCGAGGTCCAACACACGTCCACGTCCGTCACGCAACAAATCCGCAGCAAGCAGCAAAGCTTAAAGAGTTAGCCCCACTGGCTTCCAAAACTGAGCCCAAATGGTTTCCGGACCAGGCGAATTAAACCTGAAACATAACGTAGCTCAGAGAAACTTACAAAAACGGAAGATTAAGAAAAATCGCGCACCCTTGTCGCGGCAACAACACGGCCTCCTTACTGACATGAAGAGAAAGAGAGAGAGAGAGAGA